CAAATCGATAAAGATTTGTCGTTGCGATACAGTTTCATGTCGTTTATCGTAAGTTAATTAATTTTTAATTATTAATAATTATATCAAATTATGTTTCGATACTAATCGTAAACGTGTTTAGACAAAAAATTCAACAATATGCGAAGCGTTTCGCACTACTACTTTATTGCTCGAGTGTCATCATGCGAATGATAACAAAGTCGTAACATATTAACAATAGCACGCTACTGTTTATATTGTCAAAGTCGAACACTGAGTTATTGATAATTCATTGCGAAATATTTTACGTACTATAACATATATTGTTGTATACATGAAAATATTAAATTGTAGAAGTTTCTCAATTTATAAATTAATTAAACGATTATTCATTAAATAATTAATTAACATACGAAACATTTCGCATTATTACTTTATTGCTCGAATGTTACCGAGCAAATAATAGCAAAACCATAACATACAAATAATAGCACGCTATTGTTTACGTCGTCAAATTCGAACATAATGTTATTGATAATTTGTTGCCGAAATATTTTATATAAAATATACACGAACGGAATATTAAATTATAGAAGTATTTTAATTTATTGACTAAAGTTGGTTATTCATTAAACAATTTATCACGGAGCTAATTATTTGAATTTATTCGATTGTTTTACTACGCTTTTTCCAAGTCAAATTCTATAATATTTAGTTTTGTATTTTAAAAGACTGACTTATAGAATAAGCGAGCTAAATAAATTAATAAATAAATGATCTTGAGAAGAAAAAGAAGACACATAAATAAATAAATAAATAATAACGTGGAAAGAGAGAACATACTAATATTTTTATATAACAAATTATTATTAATTAATTATTATTTATATAATTTTATGTCAAATTTTCGCATAACTTCAAATAAATGTAAAAAATGGTCGTATTTAAAACTATTTTATTCTTAAGCTTAAAAGCCTCTATTTTAAAAATCATTTGTCAGATTTAGAATTTATCCTCTTCCCCCTCTCGTCATCGCCTTAAAAGTAAAGACGTGTTTTGTTTCCAAAAAATTGCATAATTTGATGCATTCCGCGGGATGGAATCAATTTTTTTCGCAAATTTTATAGTAATTATCATAAAATATAGACTTTTATGTGTAAATTAAAAAAATGTATAAATAACAAAAAGCGCTTTTTGTTATTATAATGTGTTTTTTAATAAATTAATATTGAAAAAAGAAAGAAATGTTGTTGTTTCTCTGCGCTCCAACTACCGCGCATTGGCTTTTATATCATTTTCTTTTTAATTTTTTGATTACTTGAGCCCAATCTCTCAATTAATTATTAAAATTAATAGGTACGTAATCAATTAATCGAACGATTGCATTCCGGCTCGCTTTTTCGATTGGCGCATATATATATGTATATATTTCCAAAACTAATGCAGATATATTTCAGAATAAAGTTATAGCCAATCAAAAGGCTTATAAGCCACTTTTAGACGCACTTTTATTGATAAAAGAGGATTCGGAATATGGACCTATATATTTTTATCTGAAATATTTTTTCAAAAAAAGTATCTTTTTTTTCGAGATATTTTAAATAGATATTTAGAATAGATATTTTTTTCAAGATATTTTATAGAGATATTTTAAATAAATATTTTAAATATACAAACGTATTATAATATATTTAATGATATTATATATTTTTTTTATTAGAGAGCTTAAGATAACAAAAAGAAACATTTTAAAATTTTCAGTGGATATTGTTGAGATTTAATTTTATATAAGTTATCCTAAGAATATTTCATTTTTGGGTTTCCTATGGATATCATGAAAATTCAGTATACTCAGTATATTCTAAATATATCTCATTTCTGTCTGGGTTCCGATCACATGTGTAAACGATTCCTAGGGCCTAAACGTTGTAGGCCAAGGATGGCCGCGAGGGATTTTTAGTTGGTAAGCCTCGCTGCAATGCACTTAGCGGCGAGGAGAGCCCAACACTATTCCGATCGGCGTTGGGTTTAATTCGGTCAGGTCTGCCGGTCGGAATGTGCATTTTCCCCTCGTAAAAAAAACATTTTATTTACAAATATCCTCCAGATAATTAAAAATTTTTGAGATATATCTGATGATTTTTGTTTCATATAAAACCAACTCTTACATCGACTTCTCCATAAAGTCTGTTCTATAATACGTCGTTTGTCACTGTCATATGTTTCTATTGGATGTCGGAATGCAGCCGATGTTCCATGAAGAGAATTCATTTTCGAAAATGAAATTCTTTCATTGGACCATCATGTTGCGTTTTGACATTATTTTATTTTATTGCACATCACATTTAATGTAGATTATAAAGAAAAGTATAAAAAAGTTTAATATAAAAAATTGCTTTTTTTTAGAATCATCATTTAATGAAATAAAATTCAATTTATTGAATTTTATTGTTACATGTATAATTTATTTTTTCTATCTCTATCGTGAGAAGAATAACTTACAAATGCATATGACAAATAAAATTATTTCAATAATAACATTGATATTTATAATATATGTTTGATTGGATAGAAAAATTATACAATTAACAAAGTATGTACATCAATTACATCTATATGGAATGTATTTCTGATAAATTGAATGTAGCACAGACATGAACCAACTGGCTGTTTTATTATGGTTTTATCGAAAAGCGTATCTAGGCGGTGGAAAATGGATGTATCCGTCATGTGCGATGTAGAAGAAAAAGCGTTCTTTGAAAAACAGCGGCGTGACATCTTTCAGGTTTCTCTTTGCCGGAATTTTGCAACTCTCCTTTAGAGTTATTTTAAATTAATTTTAAATTCCCATTCCTTTCAATTAACATTATATATATTAGAAATTATTAGTAAATAAGTTAATCTTTTATTATTATTTAATATAATCCTGAAAAATAATATATCAAAACGCATATTTTAGAAATAAGTTAATCTTTCACCATTATTTAACATATAATACTGGAATATATCAAAACGCATATTAGAAATAACATTCATAATTTTCATATACATATTTTCCCGTTTTGTATTTCTCTTTCTTTCTCTTTCTCTCTCTCTCTCTCGCTCTCTTAAATATTTAGAATATTTGAGACATAATAAAATAGAAACTTATAAATTCATTCATTCACACAATATATTGTGATTAATCGGAAGAAAGATTTATTTGCTAGTCATTTGTATTTCATAGTATCATGAGAATAAGAAGTTACAAGAGATTCCTAAGAAACCTAAAGAAGTTTCTTGTTACAATTGCAAAGAATTATCATTCGGATATTCAATGTTGTGTGAATTATCGAGAATATAAATATCGTAAATACTGAAATCGAAACTTTTCGATATTGTCCTTATTTCATTTTAAAAATATCGCAATTAAATTGTAAATAAAATGCAATTTATGTAACCGTACTTGTATTTATATGTACTTCTTTTCTCTTTCCCTCTCTCTCTTTCTTTCTGTCCTTTTTACTCGAATTATAGTATTTAATATACAATTAAAATACTTCTTATACAATTTTTTTTATTTTGGTTTACTTGCCTAATGTCAACATTTTGGCACTTCCAGTCTTTGTTACTTTCCAACTTGAATGTTAGAATATGTAGCCGAATTTTCTTTTTTTTATACATATATCTACATAGTAGCAAAGCATAAGGAATCACAGATTTTTCGATGAATATGAAGTCAATTTTGTTTTCTATCGAAAATTTGATAAAATTTTTGATTTGTCCTTACTTCATTTTAAAAATATCGCAATTAAATTGTAAATAAAATGCAATTTATGTAATCGTACTTATATTTTTATATGTACTTCTTTTCTCTCTCCCTCTCTCTCTTTCTCTCTGTCCTCTTTATTCGAATTATAGTATTTAATTTACAATTAAAATGCTTCTTATACAATTTTTTTTATTTTTGTTTACTTGCCTAATGTCAACATTTTGGCACTTCCAGTCTTCGTTACTTTCCAACTTGAATGTTACAATATGTAGCCGAATTTTCTTTTTTTATACATATATCTACATAGTAGCAAAGCATAAGGAATCACAGATTTTTCGATGAATGTCAAGTCAATTTTGTTTTCTATCGAAAATTTGATAAAAGATTAGTCGCTCACAGTCTCTTCTCAATAACATCTTGACAAACTGAATTTTTAATAAAATTTTGAAAAAAAAATTTGAAACTTACACCCTGCTAGAAAATATTAGAGCCAAAATGAGAACTAATATTATAACAATAATAAATGTCGTCGAATAAAAACATGTTTAATAAAAATATATATGTTGTGTGTGCGTAAATGTGTATAATTATCGAAGACTCGGATTAAAATAGTATTCAATTTACTGTACAAGATATCTAAAAACTATTCCAGTTTTCCGAACTCAATTTCTTGCTCGATGAAGAAAAACAAGTAAATATTTACTTTAAGTTACAGAGCGTATATATAATTTTCATTTAGACATATGTTATAAAGGATATATTCCTAATATATCCTCTATAACATATGTCTAAATAAAATCTAATTCCTATCTATAAAATATCGACATAATTATAAATTATAAAATTAACAATGTATATATTTAGATATTTCGAATATCGTCGAAATAATATTAATACTCTTGAATTATCCCCGGGAGTATCGGGCTTCGTATTCACAAAAATTTATCACACGACTGCTTTAATAATACTTCGGTGCCGTGCGCATAGACAACTTTTATAACTATATATTAACAAATATAATAATACAACATATATATATATATATATATATATATATATATAATTTTGCATTTGTAGACATTTCATGAAAGAATGAATTTCATGATTTGTTACACATTTTTTATGACTCTCTCTTAATATCATATACATATACAGATATGAATTTATTCTACTTTTTACAGTAAAGACTTATTGTTAAAATTTGTATAATTTCAATGTAACGAAATTTTTCTCGTTTGACGAATAACTTAATAAAATTTAAAAAAAAATATTGTCATGGTAACACACAATAATATAACTACAATAAAAAAGTGACAATAATAATACTAATACAATAATAATACTAATACAATAATAATACAGTGTGAAAGTTTGTTTTATTTTATTGTAAAATTTCTCATTAAACTTTGTCTGATTCATTTCGGATTAAGAGATTTCACTATAAGATTTCACAAACTTCCTTTATTTAATGATAGTGATAGCAATGGATGCATTCAGCAAAAAAATCGCTTAATAGCAATCGAATGTGATTGGTTCCTACTTTCAGATCCAGCACATCAGTGTTGAATGTTAGAACAATATGATGCAACAATTTTCTTTGCTGAACACAACCAATGATAAGAATGATGGCGACAGCTAATGATGTATAGTAATGATAATTATAGCGACACACTATAGAGGATGTCCCAAAAACTGGCAGTTTCTCTCAATGTTACATGGAGTATAAGAAAGCTAGGGAATTTTGGAAGACTTAAACTGCCATTGTATGAAGAAATGGAAATATTTGTGGAGCTTTTTATGAGAGCTCTTTTTATATCGCGATAAACATCACATAAGATGTCAATATATTTTTGTTTTGAATCTTAACACGATGCAAAAATTATTGCATTGATATTCAACCAACGATCTTATCCGAGAGCAGAAGTGCGATAATTCTGGGACACTCTGTATAGATAATTTTAACAATTGTGTACACATGCAGATACTGAATATGTGTGTGTGTGTGTGTGTGTGTGTGTGTGTGTGTGTGTGTGTGTGTGTGTGTGTGTGTGTGTGTGTGTGTACGTGTGTGTGCATGTATAATAATCTTATTTGCGCATTTAAATATTTTCCTCTATTTTCTTCATACTTAATTTTCATCAGAAGATCCACTAGAACTTTCTGGCATAGTGTTGAACCAATTTTCACGAGCCCCGGTAATTCTAAGTATAAAAATATTTAAAAAATCTATGTAGGAAATTTTTCATGTGCATAAATTATCTCTTTAAGTATTGAATATAATTATATGTATATACATTATATAAGTATTAAATATAATTTTTTCTATAGATAATTTCAGTAGCGTTTATAAATAATTTAATATATTAAAAAATTATTTTAGTAGAGTTTATAAATAATTTAATATATTAAAAAATATTCTAAAAAATTATAAAGAGTATAATTTATCTATATTATTATCTATATTATGTATTTATATTGATTAAATATATATTACCTTGTACGTTGGCGTGTATTCGTCGGCAGTGTAAGTGAAGTTCTATAATACTGTGGTGTGGCACTTGATGTTGCTTCGTCCGGTCTTCTATGTAACGTCATGGTTTCATGAAGAGAAGTGACTAATTCGTCTTCGTTATCTAGATAGTAACGAGAACCTGTAGCACTTTTGCAATTCTCGCATTCGCTTCGATAATCATCTGTGTCATCGTGCAGAGTCGGTAATGCTTGCATACTGCATGTACATGTCATTGATTCGAAGCTACCACTTGCATTCATTTCGTTAGCTGCACTTAACGAAGGCTATAGCAAACAAAATTTTGTATTCAATAAATGTTACGTCTCTCTCTCAATGAGATTTATATTGCAATAAATTAAGTATATCAACAAGTTCTGTACTATTTTTTTATAAAATTCAATATTGATTAAAAAACAAATTATATACATATGGTTCAATCATGAAATAATCTCCATCATTTTTCAACATTTCTTTCCATTTTTCAGATAAGTTATAGATTCTGATTTCATAGAAAATCCGATCTTATATAAATTTATTAAGCCATTTTCTTATTTTTTAAATATTTCTAAAGAATCCCGCATAAATCCTATGGAAAAGTGGTTTCAGTGAAGTTGCTTAAAAGTTGGATAGATTAGTGGAAAATAGTAATTTGCAATTACTATTTCGTAGAATTTAAGTAATTAATTTCGTTGGATTTAGTAATAAATTACACCCAACTATCTTGATCAGTTTGATAAAATGAAATTGATCAGAAGCACATTGTTCAGGAATTTGGCTGAGTTCTTTTTTTCTATCCAGCATATTTATCAGATATAACGCTTTTAGATATTATTTGTTCCAATCGAAATAGCTTTATTTGATAGAAAATTTATAAATGTTAGAGAAATAAGAAAATGGCATAAATTCATTGCAGATAGAGACTAGGAGTTTTCTATCAATTTAGAATCTAGTTTTCTATCAATTTAGAATCTATTAGAACTTTCCTGCAAGATGGAAGAATGCGTTAAAAAAAAATAAACATTAAATTTTACAAAAAATAGTGAAAAATTTATCTAGACATTTAATATTTTTACATACCGTATATTCGCGAGTCTTCTCGGATACATCTGTCGTGTTTGTTTTATACGTTTCAGATTGCGCTATTAAACTAGACGCTGATGATATTGGAATATCATCCGTATAAAACATATCCATATCTTTGGTAGAATTTTTGTAGTTGTTCGGGGAAGCAGCAACTGCGGACAATTGCACGGAATGCGGCAAGTTTTCATGTGGCGCTACGATTCTGCTCGGTGATAAGCGAAGATAGTCTTTCGTCGAGCAATCGGTCAGAATATCCTTCGATGTGCCAGTAATGCGAGATGTTAACGTTCGCGAGATTGTGCGATGAGAAGACACGTCCGAATTCGGCAGAGTTGCCGATATCGTGAACGCACCAACATCGCTTTGACGCTGAAAAATCGTCGTATGCTGGCGATAATTCTTGGGTATAGTAGAATGTGATATCGGCAATAATGATTGTTGTGTACTGGTGCTACTCATCCCAGAATGTTGACTGTCGTTGAAATTAGTCGTACTGATCGGGATGGGTAGATTTTCATACGTATTTGTTCCCATTGTGAAATTCGTAGTAGATGTACTCGTATTCAAACCAACAGTGGATGTTGCATTGATATTTTGGTTCATCGATCGATAATTGCCAGACGAATATATGCTGGGACTAGGAAGCGGTCTATTCGATGAAGATATCAGGGGTGTGCTTGTATGATTATCATTGGATGAGGCTTGCGTGTTTACAGTTAATTCATCTTGTGCGTCTGCGACGACCGATACGTTTGTATGATTGTTAATATTTGGCATATAATTGTCGGAAAAGTTCATCGACAATAACGTGTGCGGATTCATTGATAGCAGTTGCTCCGTTCTCGCAGCAGCGATTGCCTCTTCGTAGGGCGGAGGCGCCTCACCACGTGGGAAATAATTGCTACCAGGTGGTTTCCATAGTGAGTAACCTGTTCCGCAAGATATATCATCCATGGGAACCCCATGAGGCAACCCTCTATCCAAATATCCCATATTGCTTAAACTTCTCTGATCTTCTCCGAGTTGCCTGTTTTCTCGACCCGCTACACAAACTACAGTTAACACCACTTATTACATTTTTTATTTTGTAATAATGTGATTTATTTTTATCTCGATATTACATCGTTTCATGTTGAAGAAATTAAAATTTAAGACTATATATAAGACATATACGGACATTATGTTACCTTGTATTTTACGTTGACGCAGACGATGTATCAGAAAGAATAACAGACTCAATGAAAATATGGCTGTCACAAAACTGGCAACTGATCGTAAACCTACATCATAATTCGCATTTCCGTCTATTACGTTAGTTCCTGCTCCGTCGGCTTTGTCGTTAGATATTGATGACAATGTATCATCCAAGCAAATAAATTCGCAACAGGTATTACCTCGACGAAAAGATTTGCAATTCTCCTATATTATATAGAAAATTAATTTTATATAACTTTTTGAATTACAAATTCAATTGGCAATTTTAAATTGTAAATTTAAATGTTTTAATTGCAAGATTTAGGATATATTATTAATACTACATACCTCGAGAAATTTGCAAATAAATGCTTTACACCACTTTGGATTGCCATTATCACAAACACAAAATGTACATGGTTCAGGTCCAGGAGTATAATAGATACCACTTTCAAAAATGCGTCCAGATTGATCTTTACAAGCAACTCCGCTTTCTGCATATACTGTAAATATTGAGACATATATATTCGGTATTTAGACAGAGAAATAACTGAAACGAAATAACTGAAACATGTATTAAAAAAAAACTAATAGTTATCTATAATGGGGAAATATCTATTTCTTCTATTTATGCTATTATGTTTATTGTATTTTTAATAAAATATGCTATGAATTAGATTAGAATAATTAAATACAAAATTCAACAGGATTTAACGGATCTATTCAAATCTTATATAAAAATTCCTCGAAAATTTTCTGATCTTCCAGATATTGTTACTTAAAATTTCAAATAAAAAGAATGTGTTGAAGATCTCTTGGTGTAAACAGAACGTCAACTCAAATTTTATAAAAAAAAATCCTTACAAATTTCCTGATCCTTCAAATATTTTTATTCAAAATTCTAGATAAAGAGAATATTTAAAAAAAGATATTTTTATACAACTTTACACAATTTTTTTATTGTACATATTTTTTAATATTTGCCGCTTATACTAAGGAAAACAGAGACATTTGCAAATATATAACTGAACATGTATATATATATATATATATAGCTGAATAGCAATATAATTGAATAACTTTTGCATTTAAGAAATAATTAAATACGTTTCACTCACATAATATTTTCATTTTTTACTAAAAATTAAAATAAAGAATATGTATGGTACATTGAATATTTTGTTAAAATATTGAATATATAAACAGATACATATATACATATGTATGTATATATATATATATATATATATACATATATATATATATATAAACATACATAATATATTTTGTATATTGGTTTATTGTCAACTGTTTATAATAAATTATCAAAGAGAGAATATTTTAAAATTCCCTGAGTTCCAATAAATTTCCACAATCCCCTGATTTTTCCAGCTATATATATTTGAAAATGCAAGAATGCATATACTGATATACACGTATATATTCCTTCAGACTTCACACACACACACACACACACACACACACACACACACACACACACACACACACACACACACACACACACACTTTACATGAACGAAAAAAGGAGTATAGAATTAAATACATAAGATATTGTAAGAAATTAGACTTATGTCAAACTATGCATTAAAGATTTTAATTAAAGAAATTAAATTAATCAAAACAAAATAATTTCAACTGCTTTTGATTAATCGAATTGCTATAATCTTCAATTCATTATCTGATATGAGTTTAGAATTTCTTATATTTAATTCTTCATATTTAATTCTCCTTATTTCGCTTTATATCTGAGCCTCTGCTGTAGTATATATCATTTGCTCCATTTTTATGATAACCTTCGAGAGCGTCCGACTTTAATCGAACATGCGGATACAATATGCGAACGTTTGCACAAAATCGATGGCATTATAAATAAAAGGTAAAATAGAACACGCATATATGTGTGTGTGTGTGTATGTGTGTAATAAATGCGCACCCATCCATATCGCTATCGTATAATGAACTCACCCTTGAGGCGAGTGAGGGTGAATGTGAGGACCGCATAACTGAATAGGTTACCGCTGCTGCTGTGTCTCATTCTGCATCTGTTATCTCGTCATAGTGGTGTGTCCTGGTGCGCAGCGATCCTTTCCTCCAGCAATTTTATTAATTTAATCGTCGATGTGCCAAATACGTGTGATCGCATCTTGCTTCACGAGGACATCATCGGCTGTATGGGAATAGCGTGCAAACTTATTTTGACAATTACATCTCACCTGACGATGACGTATCTATATGCGTTTTATTTTATCAATCTCGAGACCGCGATGAGGCCGCAACAAAACTCGAACGCGATTCATGCACAACGACTCCCGGAATGATCGATTAATAAAACGGACGGGTTGTTTCTGGATGAGCGAAATACCACTATCACGGTAGCGCCATCTTCGGTTAAGATAGAAAGAGAATAGACAATTTTTTGATTTGGACACCGCGAAATTTAACGTCCATTTATAGGGTGTTCTCCAACTAGGACATGCTAAATTACACTGTGTAACACTACGTAAAATTATTGTTGGAACAATTAAAGTGTAGGTTTAATTTCTGAAAATCTCTGTAGAGGGCGGTTTTGGTTTTATAATATATTAGAAGGCCTCTATTGTAATTAAAACATGGTTATGATATAATATGTTGTGTGATTTTCCGATTGTTGTAAACAAATTTTAGAATTATAATTCATTTTTATATATTTTATTTTATATATCATATTATATTATTATTATTATGTTATTATATTATTATTATATATTATTTTACATATTTTATTTTATTTCATTTATTTTATTTTCAAAGATTTCACCACAATTAAACAGTATTTATAAGATTTCTTACAATATTGGTAACATTAGGACATTTTACACGTTTGTATTTTACTGGGTCAAGCAATGTGATACTGTGTCGTTGAAATACATCGTGTTGGACACAGAGTTACCTAGTAAATGCTGTTACATTAATGTTATATAGCAATAATAAAATGCAATATAAATAGTAATTTGGTGTTTTGATATAATTAAAGCTTCATTTTGCTATTTTTCAGACAACTATTATATAAAAGATTTATATATTTTCAATAATAAAATAATAACTATACTTAAAATATTCGTCATATAACTCTTGTAATTACCTTCAATACAATCTAGAGTGGCTTTGCGGATCGCCAGTTGCATATCTCTGATGTATAGTATTCATAGTCCGTTGTTATATTTAAAATCATCTTAAGTACAATCTCAAAATGTTAATAAATCAATCACATAGCTGTATTAGCATTACTTAAGACGATCTTAAGACATTATTTAAAATGATCTTAAATATACTTGAGATGTTTTTAAATATAAAAATGGACTATTAATTGATACTAGAACATCAAAGTCTTAAATACGCGTGTCTATTTTTATCTTTTTTTCTAGATTACATTTTAAAATTATATTCCAAAATGTCCTTTCCAATGTTATTTTGCAAAACTTAAATATGTCTTTTTATTTAGATTAGATTCTAAAACGTCCTCTCTCCCTAAGGAAAATTTTATAATTAAAATTTTATGATATAACATTTCAAAATCTTTTCCAACGTTTTTGATTAGATTTTGCGTCGACTATCGAGTAAATTTTTCCTTGGAAAGAGATGACGTTTTGGATTATAATCTAAATAAAAAGTAGTATTAAGTTTTGCAAAATAACATTGGTGCAATCGAGCCTTAGTTATTGACTAATCAATTTAAATGTATTATTTAATATAAGTATCAAACGATCGATGTAAACTAGGGCCAATGGCCAATGAAAATCTAATAACGTTGCCTAAAATATTCAGTCCGCTGAATATAGCCAATTTCTCTTTCTTTCAATGGATTTTCTTTTGTAAATTATGTTTATTGTAATTCTATTTCGTGTAAAATTACTTAAATTATTACGTGTACCTATTAAACATAAGGATGGATATAATAAAAAATATAATCTTTCGTTAATTTAAACAAGAAACAAAGAGTATGCATAATGACTTGCGATAGCTTGCGCATGAAAGACAACTTACATTGCTCTCTATATAAGAATATTTTCGACATGTGACATTTTTTGTAGTTCTTTCTCGATAAAACACACCGCTATGGCTGTAAATAACGATGAATTTGCAAATGTGGAAACAGAGATCGTTAAAGGTGAACAGGATGATGTATTGAAAGAATATTCACAATTGAAAAAGGAAAGAATACAGAAGCCTCATGCGAAAGCATTAGCTTTGAAAATCATAAAAGTAATCTGATATTTTAAAATTTATATGTATGTACATATATATAATAAAATTAATAAGGATATATAATTAATCTCATTATGTATATGTGTGTGTGCAATGTGTTTAAATGTGTGTTCCTTTATAATGTTGATTATATTGCTAAGTTTCTTTTTCTACATATTATATATTATTTATATATCTAATAATATATTTTAATGTAAATTTTTATAATAATTTATAATATTAAAACTTTATTATATAACTTTATTATTAATTTTCTATTTTATATGTGTGAATATTCAGTATGATATACCACAAGTAACTGCAAAATCTGCATCTCTTCGCATCGAGGAATTAGCACGACCTACCAAACAACGTGCATTGATCACATTAAGAGAGAAAATACCAATATTGTCGCCAGCATTTGTGAATAATCTTATTAAAATTATTGAGGCTGAATCCTGCTTAACTCCAGAGTACATATCATATGTTTTATATCATATGTTTCATAGATAAAATTTCAAACTTAATTTTATATGAAGAAAATTGTGTTGAATATTTTTTAATCTTTAATTTATACTTGTAAGAATTTCTGACATAATTAATTGCTTGTAGAGAAGCAGCGCACAGTCTTCGCTGGAAGAAACGCGGAAAGAAAAAGTTAACACAATTTTCACCCCTCATGAAAAAATGGAAGAAAAAGATCACGGAAGATATTACATACGCAACAATGCTAGACAAGGATGCGACAATGTGTCAATATCTAATAGCTGAACACTTTATTAAGAGCATTCTTGGACATCAATGTCAAACACCAAAGAAGGATATTTGTAAAATCGCGACTGTGATATTTAGACATTTAACGTCTCTTAATAGATATATAACAAATGTTCAAAATGGCGATCGGACGACGCAGCAGTTACGCTTTTTGGCTGATATAGTAGCTTGCTGGATAGCTGAGATACTTATTGAAGTTGCTGAGATCCATAAAGAAACTTTGGAGGAATATTTTAACAAAAGACAGATGAAAATGATAGAAGTAAATGATCAAATAAATAGTGAAAATGAAGATTGGCAACAGATAGATCAGGAAAAAGATAGAGAAGAAAAAGATGAAAATATAGAAGATAAAGCAAGAGAACAAGATATAGAAACAAAATAATTGAATGAAAAAGTGCAAAATGAGGACAGAAGAAATTAAAATATTAAGAAAAAATAAAAAATGAGAAAAATATAGATAAAAAAAGAAAATGGAAAATCCATAACAAATAAGAAAGAAGACAAAATGAAAAATAGGAAAGAAGGAACAGTGGAAGAGTAAAAAACAATGGAAGCTTACTAGGAAAGTTAATGGTATCAAAAATTTATAAAGATATTTAGCAAATAGAAAATGAAGTGTGCGTAAGATCAAGAAAATATTTGAATATGATTCAGATAGAATAAAAAAATGTTTTGGAATCATAATTATGGACACAGATGCTAAAGCAAATATTATTGCATATTATTGACGTTGACTTGATTTAAAAAAAAATGCCAAAGTTCATTTTGATTTATAGCTTTTTGTTATAATCTTATCTCTCTCATTAAAGTTAAAATTTACTTTATTTATGTTAATTAAGTTAAGTATTAATTTTGAAAAGAATTCTAAAAGTAACAAAATTCATTTCACTTGACATTATTTTAGTTTTGAAATGTGTCTTACGCTCACATTAAGTTCAAATTACACTATAGATTGCGGGCTCGGTTGCGATTGGAATTGACCAATCAGAGAGCTGGTCGACAAATTGTTCTGCTTTGATAGCTAATCAATCTTTCGTTCTTATGGCGTTTTCGAATAGTCGAATTTAATCGCTCCGAGATAGTTTACTATAGAGACCCTTTAATCAAAGACTGGCCATCAGGTAGAGTGCGTGCATATGGAGAGTGTGTCGTCCATGTTTATGCAAAATCCTGCGAGAGAGACAGATATAGAGATCTATGCAGAGACTCTAAATTTCATGTACACGAATGTGTGCGAATGTATATGTTTGCAGATGTGTCTATATCTTGTGCAATTAAAAAATAACAGTAAAATGGATGGATATCGAGTATTCTGCAATAATTCGTCTGCGAAAGGATATATGATGTGAGTATTTCCTAGAGATGCCAAACGTCGTGCTGAATGGATAAAAAACGTTAATCGTAAAAATTGGACACCTACAAATCAATCATATCTTTAATCATATCTTTTTATTTATCTTTTTATTTATCTTTTTTTTATAATATTAATATTATTAACATTTAAATAAAATTTAATATTATAATTTATACAATATTTCTTATTTTACCTATATATATATATATATATATATATATATATATATAATATTCATTTATTTATAATTTATAATATTTATTAATAAATATCATTTATATTCAAAATGAAGTAATTAAAATTTGAATATGAGTTGCATAAAAATGGCGGGAGTTGCATAAAAATGGCGGACCAATCAAAAATGGCCCCCTAATGGTCAGTCTCTTATTAGAGGGTCTCTAGTTTATTAGATGTCATTGACCAATCACGACCATTCTTCTGAAGAATGTAACCATACGGACTAGCCTAAATCGACTATTGCATCGCTTCTTGTCATGCGTTGCCGTCCTGTATGCAGGAGCCTTAAAGCGTGCGAAATTCGAGCATCTAAAGCGAACACACCTTGAAGTATAAAAAGTGCATTTAATAATCGCGTCATATATCGATCAAACTTCAAATTTCTTTCGATATAAATATAATAAAAATAATACTCATAAACGCCGTTTGCCGTGTATCTGCCGAAAATAACGAGACAGCTTCGCAGCGATATATAATATTTAACCTTTCATTGATATAGGAAAACAATTATTTGAAAACAATTATTGTAATTTATATAGTTAGCATATAAGACGAATTGTAAATTGCGGATATGGTAATTTAATTATATTTATGCTAATTAATTTGACTTAATAAATTTCTATACACATACACACACACACATATAGTATATATTTTTTATTAATATATATTTTTTTTTAAATATATTTTTTCATTTTTGTTAATTTTATATTTTTATTTTTTATCTTATCAAAATTATTTTCTATTTGTTCAAAAGAATATTAAAACTATTTCTTTCTTTTTAATTATTCTATACTTTTTTCATATTTTTCAGGATAAAATTTATTTAATTCTATGTTTCTTTCCCCTACAGGCATCCACATCTAAAAAGCATATCACTGGTGCTGTTCGTAAGAAAAATACAATAAAATTTGAGCTAACAGAAGAGCAAAAAGCTGATATAAAAGAAGCTTTTGATTTATTTGATCCAGATGGTACTGGAAAAATTGCTACTAAAGAACTTAAAGTTGTTATTAGAGCTCTGGGTATTGAACCAACAAAAGAAGAATTAAAAAGGCTTGTAGCGGATGTTGATCCAGATGGTCTTGGCAAATTATCTTATGAAGAATTTTTAAATATAATGACAGTGAAGATGTCAGAAAAAGATTCAAAAGAAGAAGTATTAAGAGCTTTCCGTCTTTTCGATGATGATGATACGGGGAAGATATCTTTTAAAAACCTGAAAAGAGTTGCACATGAATTAGGAGAAAATCTGACTGATGAAGAAATACAAGAAATGATTGATGAAGCAGACAAAGATGGCGATGGGGAGATATCCCAAGAAGAATTTCTGAAAATTATGAGAAAGGCATGTTTATATTAGATTATTATTGAAGTACGTAATGTGCTTTTAATATGTGTTATATGTTCATAAATCCAAAAGAAAGACTGATATATGTATTAGCACAATTATATATTTTTATCAATATTTTTTCATGGTATTTATGTGAATATATTTAGTAAGAGATTCCACAAATATATCAAAATATATTTAAATAAAAAGTATATATTAAAATAAAAAATATTAACTATCTTTTAAATCAAATAATTATTTTTTCACTTTCTTAGACTTTTATTTTTTTCTCTTTCTTGACATATTATTAAAATTACTATTATAGTAAAATATAGAAAAAAGCATAGATTTGAAATATGATAATTATACCTTGTATATCTTGATTTAGTTATATTTAATATAGACAATTAAATAATTTCTTTATTTAATAATACCTAATATAAAAAATGACAACATGTATATATACAATGTAAGTTTTATTTAGGTGAATTTGTTTCTATATTGTTCACATTTAGTGTCGAGATTGCAGCATTAATTACGGATCTGATTGATTTTGCTCTCACTTTCGTCATTTCTAGTCCTTTACAAAGTAAATTCTGAGAAATAGGAATTCCACCTATAATAAGATCAATATTATTAGAGAACTTATTATTTTACAAGATGAGTACATTTTATTAGCCTTTTTTAAATAGCTTTTAATTAAATAGTGTAAAAATTATTGAAATATACACAATATTTACTATACTACATTCTATATTATAAAAGCAGAGTAACACACCAGGTTTATGTATATAACAAATTTCTTCTTCATCATCCATTACAATTGAAAATCTTGTAGATGACATGTCTTCTTCATCATCTGAAGGATCAACTAGCAATAGTTGTCTAAAAAGAAATTCAATTAAAAACTTAATTGTAAAAAAGACAAACTACTTAAGGATATTTAATTTTAATAAATTCGACTGACTTCTCAAATATTGCAAACGATGCAGAAACTGGAAGTGTTCTTACAGTAAATGCCTTTCTATTTTCTGGATGTGTAACAATTACTCCTGTTTCACTGTTGTAGTTTATTTCTGGTAGAGTCACTGTAAATTTTTTTTTTCAAATACAGTAGTGAAGAAAAGGAACTGAGGATAGATATTATATATAACTTACATGTTTTAAGAGCTGCAATCATTGCTCCGATACAAGCATCTATAACTGAGCCATTGTAATTTAGACATAAAATATCACAGTACAAGACCCATACTAATTTATTTTTGCAGATGCAAAGATCTTTTAAATCAAGTGCTCTTGAATTACTTAATACAATATCTATCAATTTAGAAAGCACTTGTGCTTGTTCACTTGGTGGGCCTGGACGAAACTTTGGAGAACATAAAGGAGATAATTCTACATTTGGTACTATATATCCATGATCTGGAATATCTGCTTTTGGCGTCGCTAATTCCTGAAATGTATAATAGGTTACATATTGAATTGTTACTTTTTATCAATAATTTAAAGATAATTATTTTTCATTCTTAAAATCTTTCAAATATAATTTTAAATATAAATTTTATATAAATTATGTACAAGTTATATAAATTTATATACAAAAATTATATATATATATATATATATATATATATATATATATATAAAAGCAGAAAACATCAATTAAATTTAAGTAATATATTAATTTTGACATATAAAAAAATAAATATAAGTATTTAATTTATGTATGTAATATGTACATAAATAAATACACAATAATTCATTTATATATAGTACTCAATTATATAATATAGGAAATATGAAGTCTATATTTACAGCTTTAATGCCACAGACTGCACTTGTATCACCCAACTTGAATATTGCTGAACTATCTGCTTGAACAATCGATGAAACATTTACACTTACTGGCCTAAATGATAAAAATTTTCTACCATCTGGTCGAATACCTTGTTCCTGAAAATATTAATTGTTTATAAGTAATTTTTATTATTGAGAAAATTCTTAGTTCTATAGTTATATAAAATACTCACAAGGTGATCTTGTAAATATTTTACAGGATGAATTGTCCTGAAAATATGTTTAAGTAAATAATACTATATAAAAACAAGATAAAAATTATAAATTGCAGAGTATATTTTTCTAATTTATAATTAGAGAAATACTGCTTTATGTTTGTCAAATTCTTTTTCATAGAAAATTAGAACTATAATTCCTTATTTTTTATCATGCATATTTTTATCATGCATAATTCCTTATTATTTATCATGCATATTTTATATAGCTTATATTTGAACAAAACAAAATACGAACTTATATTGTAAATCCATTTGCCCAACGCGTTATATTTCAAAATTAGTTAGATATGAATTGTTGTCACTTCACAATCATACAAACTGCATATCTGGAGTCTGGAATGTAAAGCCGGATTTACATTGGTCGTATCGTAACGTTGTAAAGGAGTCGCAAGTCGTAAACCATAATCGATTATTTCAAAAATAATCAACCATGATTGGTCAATTTGCCTACGACTTATGATTTGTGCTCCTTTGCGACGTTACAATACGACCAATGTAGATCCGGCTTAAGGATCTCACAACTCGGTTATACACCTCCTAGAAATTTCTGCATTTCTTGTTATTATTCGGTTGTTGACCAACGCTGATCTGTTTTATTAGGATCCCAGTCAAATTTCTATATGAGAAACTAAAATTGATCTTGTAACACGTGCTTTTTAGAAATTGGAAAGAATATTTCTCCAGCGAATAAGTAAATATACACATATACGTATACTTTGCGCAAAAGGTAAATTTAATGTTTTACGTTCGGCGAACGTTACATTTCGCTGCACATTTAGCGTGCAGTCAACATTTCATATATCGTCACCGCATTCCAATTTTATGTAATAATAATATCGGAGCATTCCGGAACTCGAGTCGTTTTTTTCACGAGAACGACAGCAATATGAAGGAGCTGGGTAAACTGGAAGGAAAATTGAAACTGATGTTTACATGTAAAAAATGCTCCACGAGAAACAGCAAATTGATATCCAAGTTGGCATACAATAAAGGTGTAGTAATAGTGAGATGCGATGGTTGTAAAAACAACCATCTGATTGCCGATAACTTAGGATGGTTTCCTGAAATAAGTACTAGGACGAATATCGAAGTCATCATGGCAATGAAAGGAGAGACTGTACGAAAGATAGCAAATGATAAGGAGGGATATTTTGAAGCTGTCGCAAATGAAGAATTCAAGTTACATCAAAAAGACTCTAGTGAGACGAAAGACTCCAGCAATGATAAAAGCGATGATAAAATTAAAAGAGATGAAATAACAAAGGAGAGCTAATATCTCGCTTGATGGTATTAGAACAATATTATATAAAATTTATTACAAATTTATATATGTAATCTGAACATCTGTATATGTAACATTAATGAATCAATGAAAGACGTATACAAATTTCTTATCTATATATATTTTATAAATTTTATTGTGAAAAATATATTAAAAAAGAATCTGAAAGTATAATAAATAAATATATATATATATATATATATATATATATATATATATATTAATTTTATACTTATAGTACATTAATTTTTATACTTATATATAATTGTACTATTATATGTACAGATTAAAATATATTTGTGGGAGTATATTTCAAATATTATGACAAAATATATTTCTTTACAAATATAAACTTTTTCATATTTACAAATGGAAGAAATGTATATAAGGTTGTATATAGGCAAGCATCAATCTTACATATCTTGCACAAATTTTTTGAAATATTTTTTTATTAAAAATATCTGATAGAAATATAATTTGATAATACTTATTCTAAAAAGTAGATTTATCATGCATCTGTTATATTTTTAGAATTTGTTGAATTCGGCGTAATTTTCTCTTATCTCAATAATCGCCTACATATTATTTGGATAATATTCCTACCCATGGCAGGCCATTAGTTTGGCACAAAGGATATAAACAGCCTTTTATTTTTAAGATTTATCTTAAAATCAGTATATACTTTTCTTATATACAATTTTGTAGAAAAATCTCTATGCAGATAAAAAATATATATAAGAAAAATAATTAATTATTTGTCTATATATATATATATATATATATATATATATATATATATATATATATGCCATTATTGCAATGACCTGCAATTATTAAATTACATAATGAATGATAGTGATTTCTGTAGTTTGTCACTACATCAATTATCACCTTATATTTTAAACATGTATATACATGTGTACATATATTTACATGCACATACTAAGTACATATGTAATATTTTAATTAATAAAAATTTTTTGTTTACTCAGTAATACTTTTTTATACTTTTTAATACTTTTAATAATGATTTTTAAAGTTAGTTTTATCTAAATTAAGGCAATAAGTTGATTTTATTGCTAACGAAAACACTATTATTCATTACGATATATTATTATATAATAGAATCGCGGCAGCATAACATTAAATATTGGCGAAATAGTTTATCCAATTGTTTCTGTTTGCAAAGCTATTTGTCAAAACATTTACAATTTATATATAAAAAATTTTGTATTAAAATATGTAAATCAAATTTATATAACACATCTGTATAGAATGTTTCGTCTGTTCAAAAAAATGATAAAATATGGATATTATTATCATAAGCATGAATTATCCATATTATAATAGCAATTATATAATAAGCGCGATAATAAAAGTATAATGATAGAGAGTAGAAATAGTAATAATTAAGGAGTCTTAATTAAAATATATCATAGTAAAAAAAAATTTCTCTAAGTACAATATATATTGTCACATATTGATAGAGATTTCATGTATATGAACATGTTTACAATAGTTTAATTATGTCAATTTAGTATCAATTAAAATATTTTTGTATGTAAGGCACTACATGTTTTTTCATAAATCAATTGCAATTAGATAAAATTTTAATATTAAAATTTTTATATTAAACTTTCCTAACAAATAACAATAATAATATAAAATCTTTCACAAGAAGGCACAATTGTAGGATTTTTAGATGCTTAAATTTTAATAAAAAGACTAAGTCTCTTTTTTTCTCTCTATCTTTATAAATAATAGATACAGAAAACGAATGATTTTAGTGAAATTTTGTAAAGCGAGAAATAAATTTACTCGAGCCACAGACTCGTGGGCACAGACTAGCATATTCTTCACATTCTTATAATTAATTATATAAGAGAACAAAAGTTTTGGAAATGTAAATTTAAAGAGAATTTGTCGCGCAATTATAATACTTTAAAAAGATACACTGGAACCTCTTAAAAGTAGATCTTACAGGATTCTCATATACCATAACGAGACTATATTTCATCCCATTATTTAGAGCAGTAGAAAGTATTGTTCCACACATTATTTGCGAAATTTGTATGAACATGTCCTTTTTACGCTATTAGAAGAAATTATTAAATATTATACACTCGTAACTGTGCATTGTTATTCGGCTAGATCTTTATCTCTATTCATGTTATTCGGGAATTATTTATGTATGAAAGGACACAATATACTCTTTCGTGGTTTATTCTCACAGATTATCTTCTCTCTGAGAGGTTCCAATGTACTCGAATGTTTGGGGATATCTTATACCCTTTTTGGTTTCGATACAATCGCGTATTCGCTGTTATTAAAAACCTTATGTTGCGGACCACTCGCGATATTACTTCCGGCGAAAGTCGTCTCGGAAGAATCCTGTTTTTTACGGATAATTCCGTAACCCAGATGACTGTCATCGGCTAATCTAACGGCAGACATATCCTCGACGATATCATAATTGGACCATGCTGGATTAATAAGATTAGAACTTTCCCCATGAGACGCGTTGGAATGTAGGCTTTGCGAGGAATTCGTATACTTGTATGTAGGCTTCGGACCGAATTTTGTTACGGATCCAAAGTGCTCCAATTTATCATAATCTGACTCATCTGTTTTGGCGATATTTTGTATTGATGACGCGGAATCGCCGCACTTACTCTTGCATTTTGAATTTTGGAATGACGTATCATGATTTCGTATCGGCATCATGAGCTCGTATTGTACATCGTCATTATCATTCTCTTTGTCTCGTTCTCCGGGCAAACTCGAATTTATTCTCTCGGTGTGATGAACGCTATCGATACCGTGCGTTTTCCACGCATCGTTTCTTATTTCGACTTGATCGTACGGATGTTTCTCCTCTTCTTCACGCATAACACTGCACATGGACTTGTGAGATAATTCCGGCGAATTAGCTTGACTTAATGTTCTGTATTCCCCGCACGTAGGTAAATCTAGAAATTCCGAATCGAGATTCTTCTTTTCCAGCAGATTACCAAAATATTTTCGTGGTGGCTTAGCTGGTTTAGACTTATTTATCGATTTGCTTGACAAGGTAGAATCTGAATTAGATGACGATGAGGTTAATGGTTTTTGAGAACTCTGTGGCACAGGGAAATCTATATCGATTAGATTATTAGAGTTATTTGGAGATGGAGGTAAAGCCGCTCTAGAGCCAGCTTCCATAGACAAAGCTGCGTGATACTGAGCGTCATTGCATTCTATGTTTGGACTATTCTCTTCGTTTAATAGCTTTTTCATAGATCTCATTTTTGAATATATGCATCGAAAGATCTCTTGTTGGCTACTATACTCCAAGTGGAACGCACCTTCACCAGATTCACATTTCCTTCCAGCTTCAAAGATAAATTTTCCATCTCTGTATCCGTATCTTCTAATATACTTATATGGCCATGTGAATAGGACAATGTCACCGTCCATTAATTTCATATCCACGGCAGCAACTACTAATGTATAGTTTCTTACTTCGAGTCCACATCGCTTAGACGCATCCGTTTCTATAACTTTTACAGAAAATACACCTTCTCCAGTAGTGCAATACAGATCATTGTTTTCTTCTATTGTTTGATTTGATACACTATCTTTGAAAGCAACCAACTGAAATGCTGTAATCCAATGAGTCATCTCATTTTCCGAATAACAGCCAAAATAATATATTCCTGATTTAGTCACCACCTGTACAAAACAAATATATAAATGAATCATTTTTCAAGATAAAGTTAACAAAAGAAAAAATTTAAACAGGTACAGAAACGCAAGAGGAGATTTAAATACATACAGTAAAGACATGTGATTGATTGCTGGGTGCAATTTTTATACAAGCGTCTAGCGTGATGATACGTGGAGAATGAGATTGTAATATCGCTTCTTCTTGACTATCGTAGATCTCAACACGTTTAATTCCATAGTTGCTCGTTCTGAACAGTTGACAAAATTTCTTGTGCCATGTTTTCTAAAAACAAATTTATATATATTATAAATTTATATATATATTATATTATATATATATATATATATATATATATATATATATTCATTCGTTTGAAACTTTTCTATTGTACAAATAGAAATTAATAAATATCGAAATATTTTGTAAGTTATATCCTGATATATATTTTTGAGACGATGGTTCCAGACAAATTGTAAGAATATTGAATATAATTCAACAGAAGAAAGAAGCGTCAAGATAAAAAAAATTCAAAGAGAATAGGAAACAGCACGTCGAGCAGAATGATGTGTTATCGCGTCCACACGAATTATCTGATATGCGTAGGAGACCAACCTTGAGTTGGCCTAACACTCCCTGCGGCGGTAACAACAGAATCCCTTGTATCAGAGGTTCCTCGGGCTCCATTGCTGGCGATCGAAGAGTTCATCGGCGCGAAGAATGTTCCTCGTGGACCTGGCGAAGGCGTATCTTTTATTCTCGTGAATATATTTATAATTCTCGCGTGACAAAAAAAAAGGACGGACAATACTTTTTCCACTTTCACCACAAGACTTTTCTCGTCGATCTCCTCCGTGGGTCTTCCCGGGCTGCTGTGAACAAACAAGTGATTCTCTTGCTCGCAGTCGACAGCTCTTCTCGCTTTGCAAGACTCAGCTCGTGGGTAACGCTAGGACGACGTTTGACATTTGACGAGGTGGCGACACGAAGAACGTCAACGACGGACACTGCACTGGAGTACGCTGCCGTATGCTGTGCAATGTACGACATATACACACGCGCGCGTGCATAACGCGTTCCTCTCGACTCCTGTTCCTCTTCCTGCTTCCTACCAATATTCGTGACTGTCCCTGACTGTTTCCTGCGCGCGTGCGCAATAGCATCTGAACGATGTCGTTCGAATCGTCAGTCAGTCCTCCTCTCGGGGACCTCGGGGTCGAATATTTATCTGTAAACAATGTAAACTATATTTAATATTATCTATGTCAACAGTGAATAATTTATAAAATATGTTCATATCATTATCAAAGAGATTATATTACTTTATTTATATTATACATATAATTTAAAAATATATAAAGACGCAATGTTATCATTAAAATCGTTTAAATTTGATTTTATAATTATCTTATGCAGCAGAACATTGATGTAATGTTATAACAACAATGTTTTGTGCTGCTTGGGATTAAAAATACAATTTTTATTATATGACACGAAAAATCAAACAAAGAATTCATTTAGATTTCATGCTGATAGAAAAAGAAAATAAGTATTATATTATTATATATTAACATAATTTTTTTGATGTAATTACTTTCTTTTTATTCTGATATATAATAATTTGCATGTTTGCATGTCCGTATATAAATATCATATAGACTTATAGACAATACGTAAATAAATCATGTACACATAATTTTGAAATTTATGACATAATCCAGTATTGTCATTCTGTAACTCTTAACGACACATAAGAATAATGATATCGTTGATAGAATTTACAGAATTGCAATATGAGTCTCTTCTAATCAACTTTATATTGATCGAGGGAAAAAGAGAGAAACAGAAATAATTGATTGATGTCTTCCTGAAGACAACTTACGTCTTTTTTTCAGAATTTTAAAAACAGCTGTTGTAATCTACTAAACTGAATGCAAATTCCTTTTCACGTTTCAACATCACAAACGGTAATAAATGTAAAATATTTCTAAAGAATAGAGAAAATTTCAAATGACATTTTTAATGACATTCGAGTTCTTTCCATTCCTGATGTGCGTAAGCATTTACACAGTAGAATGCAGACAATGGGTTACGTTCTTATCATATGCCTACATCAAAGATAGAAGTGGTAGACCGCAAAGTGCGCATGTATTTACGCATAAATCTGTCTTGCCTTTTACCTTCCGTCGTAAGATTTTAATTGTAGACATACATGTAATAAAATTGAGTAATATCTAAAGATACTACATCTCTCGTCTTTATATTTATTCTGCTTACAACATAAAATAACATCTTTTTGCAACAGAGTGATAGGATTTTCAAGTTTTTTTCTCTACAAGTAATTTTATCTTTTTTTTACTCTTTCAATACTTTTTTTATAATTTTAATATTTTTTATAAACTTTATATATATATATATATATATATATATATATATATATAATTATATATAATTATATATATATATATATATATATATATATATATATAATGTATGTATATTTTTCAAAAAAATATAGAAATGAACATATAAGTAATCAGGCAAAAATTTTTTAATCCGAATAATAATTAAAGTTAAATATTTAAGTTGTTAAGAATATTTTAATTAAAAATTCTAATAAAATAATTTTTACATATTAATAATAAAGAAATGATTAAAAATAAATTGTTAAATTGAGAATTTATTATTAAATTAAAAATATAATATCGAATCGTAAAAAGTTTAATACCTGCTTACTATATTCTTATTGTTTTAATTGTAATTTGAATGCAGATTATCAAAAAATTCAAGTTAAAAATTTAATAACAGCTTCTCGTATTCAGTAACAGATATATCAATTTAAAGATAAATTTTAAAGACATATTACATAAGGTTTGAGAACATTTAATGATTACAATTATTAACGGCTTTTATAAAAATTCCTGCACGTATCATGAAATAATATTGTTAAACGAATACAAATTAGGCAAATACGTTAGGTAGTTAATATTCACATCATCCAATCACACATCTCAGCGCGACCTTTTCTACTTTTTTCTACATATTTTCTATATTCTTCGTACACTTTTCCTTAAAATAATGTTTATTCTGTACTTAGCAGTGCACGATCTGCGATACACAACATATGTCAGAAGAAACTTTATGGCCGTGGAATTATTTTATGGTAAAATATTTGTCAAACCAAATGTAGTCTTTGTAGCGAATGTAAGAGGCCTGTTATACATATTCTAAAATGTTTACGTCAACATTTACGCAAGACAACGTATAAGAAACATACGAAAGCTTGTAATGAGGTACTAATGGGGGGTCTAGAGAAAGATAGGGATGTATGTGGGAGGAGGTCATGTCTTTACGCCCATTTGAACATTTCAACGAGCGACAGAATCCATCCATGGCAACGGCATATTCCGTGAAGAGAGCATTCGCACACTCTTCAGCCTAGCGAATAATTACTAGAAAACAATATTCGCAGACTAGTAAATATGTGAGGCGCAAGTGGCTGGATCGGGAATCGAACCCGAGTTTTTAGCTTTCCGGGCAATTGCTCTAGATTACTGAGCTATCCAGACCTTACACCTAATGCTGCTTTTTAACACAATGATATGTGATTCCAGAACGATGTTGGTATCTTGCTCGATGAATGCAATGCCGATTACCATGGAGGATCCTTGAAAATGGTCGCTCGCTGACCAAATATATATATATAATCTTTTATTGCAAGCACAATGTAAAATTGTATGTGTAACTTACTCGTATATTGTAAGTGTAGACCAAGCTATAGATTCATACAATTTTACACATACAATTTTATTGTGCTTGCAATAAAAGATTTCATATTTTTATCGCAAAAATGAATTTCGAATAGTTAATAGTCAGATTCAAAGAGAATCGATCAAGTTGACTTTTTCACGATGATATTTCACAATGTATAATTATTGCCTCGCCCATCTAGGCCAGTGATGCATTTTCTGTTCAAGTCGCGATGAGATTCGATCGTTTCTTAATAAGTTATTTAAGAATCGACCTTTTCCTCTCGGTACAAGTTACGATACGAGTCTACAAATGCGCACAGTCTACAATTGCGATTTGATCGAGCTTGACGAAGTTTCAGTTGATACGATAATAATGGATTGGCAAAAGTAATCAGCTCATTTATCATTGAACAATGTCCTCCCTTATATATCGACTGATTGCAGCGACGTGCTTCAATGCAATTTTCGCTGATGGATATGATCTCCGTCTTTTTCCTCGTGTGGATTCTCAATTCAGTTGACGCCTTCAATGATTTTCCGTCGCTAGTATCCAACAATGCCTCGATGGGTATGGACAATTTTCTTTATCTTAAAAAAAAATTAATATCACGTGTATGCATTAATAAAAAAAATTTCTTCCTTTGATCCAGCAATCATTATTGAGAAAAGTTTCTTCGACAATAAAGCTGAATATCGTAGCGTTGTAAGTAATATTTACAATTTCATCTCAAACATCACGTCTGATATTGAAGTGCATGTCTTTCATGACACGAAGATAGACAGTTTTCAAGGTAAGAATACGAATGTACGATATCTCAGATAAATTTCGAAGATATATTATATCATCTTATATATACTTTATATATTCTTTATATATACTTTTTATTACATTATGAGAGATATGAAAAACCGTTTTTTTCTAACAAAAAATCTAGCAAAAAAAAAAAAAAGAAAATACAAAATTGTAATAAAATAGAGGCAAAAATCTCGCTTCAAGATACTTTTCTTATATATAAAAAAAATATCTCAATCACCTCTTTAAAAAAAAACATTGGATTTTTTATTTTATTTGATACAGAACTTAAAAAGAGAAAATCTTTTATATCAATCTAATAATAAATTTCTTCGTGTTTAACATGTGTATAAAGATTATACAGTGCTTCTATCCGTGACAACTTGTGATCAAACGTGGAATCTGTACAATGCAGTGCGTAAAGATGAAATCATACATTTAGCGATAACAGGTACGTATGAAGAGATTTTCTCTATAAAAAAAGTGAGTAAAAAATTTTTCTTTAGCTCACAAGGACATATACATACTCAACTACAGTTATAACTGGTGACTAAGAGATATGCTACTCATATATCAAATACTATTTTAATTGCGTTATCTATTATCTCATTTGCTACAGAGAAAGAGATTCTGTTAGACCAGTGTATATGTGTGTGTGTGTGTATGTATGTGTATATAATATGTTTTGTCTAACTCTTGCTTATATAAAAATTTCAATACACACCGTATGTTTTATCAAATAATATAAAATAGCGAAAGATGAGAGTATTAAATATTATTTGTTTTATATTCGAAGAGCAAGATTGTCCACGATTACCCGAAGGTGTGAGCATTCCTTTGATATTGCCAGGCAAAGAATTATCTCAGATTTTCTTCGATATCAGAATGGCCGATGCTTTGCTTTGGAACAACGTTAATATATTGCACGACGATACTTTTGGTAGTTTAATAATTAATTATTCTCTTTCTCGCTTTCGTTGTTCCTCTCGTCTTCTCTCGTATGTCATTTCTTGGCATCCTCGATAAAAACACGTTTTTCTTTCTAATGCATTGTAGATAGAGACACAATCAACCGAGTCACAAAAGCTATATCGATTGCATTGCCAAACAAGAAATTTAATCTGGTCTCTAGATCGCTATTTGTGTTTAAGCACGCCGATTCTGAGCGTAATAAGAGATATTACATAAAAGAAATGCTTGAAAGTTTTCACGTGGACCAATTGGGAAAATGCTTTCTCGTAATCGTCACGATAGATACAGTGGCCGACGTTATGGAAGCTGTGTGTAAAAACTTATTTAAATATCATTTAAATGTCTATTTAAATTAATTAGTATAAAGAAATAAAATTAATACATTTCATAATAAATTCATAATAGATTCACTTTGATGTAAAACCGTTTCGATAAATGTTTAAATTAATATTACATGGATTATTTTCCTTTTTGATATACATATTGTAGAGGATACATTCTTTCGATATGTATATATATTGTACTCTCTAAAAGTGAATCAGTGTATTATCACTGAAAAACAGTAAATAATCACTGATTACAGCAGTTATAAGTACAGCATTGTAAATCAGTGATATTTTATTGAAAGAATCAGTTAATAATTTTGAATGTTTTAATCAGTAATATTTCTCAATATCAGTAATATTTCTTTCGTTATTGTTAGTAATATTAAACTATAATTCATCTCTCTATCTATTGCATATAAAATTAAAAATTTTATTTATATTTACTAAATATTTATTATATTAAACATTTTATTTTATTTATATTACATGCATATTGAACTTGTTATTTTAAATAGATAACGAACAAATAATTTTCATTAAGTGCTGTGTAAATTTATATAAATATTTACCGCCACTTTTAACGTGAAATTTTACAAATTATAACATATTCTTTCTATTTCAAATATATATAATGTTATCTACGAAGCCTTAGAAATTATAAATGTAATTTTTATTTTCTCATATTATTTAGGCAAAGATGTTAAATATGGTTCAACCTGACAGTCAATGGTTATATGTCATTACTGATATCGTAAAAAATAACTCTACAAACATTACTAGTTTGATCGACCTATTGTCAGAAGGTAGTAACGTGGCTTTCATTTATAACGCTACGGACAACAACACATATTGCAATGTAATCTATTCTAATTATTCTTGTTTGATTTTATATACATATATATATATATGTGTGTATGTGTATATTGTATGCATATATACATATTTCAATTGCTTGAAATAAATTTATGATTTAAATGATCAAATAATTATTGATAATGTAGATTGATTAATAAAAAGATTATCTTTTTGTAGAAAAAGTCATTTTCTCTCTTTTTCTCGATATGTGTATTTGAAGAAAACTTGTTTTTTTTCAGAACAATTTAATATGTCATATCCAAGAGTTAACTATGGCTTTGAATAATGCTTTAAAAATATCATTGATGACTGAAATAGAATTATATAACCATGTGAGCAATGAAGAATTCGAAATCGTCCGATTAAACAAACGCGAAAGACGTCGGGAGATTCTTAAATTTATCAGGGTTCGTAAATTCATTTTGATATAAGTTAGAGATATTGATGATACAAAAATGATATCTTGTGTAACTAGTGGATTTTGGATAAACAAATTAATGTGCACAGAGATTTATTCGTGGAACTGGGAATCACATTTTTCTGAAATTCATGTATATTTTCTCTTTTAAATGTATATATAATATCATTTTTTAAATATGCAATGTTTGGTTTAAGTGTATATACTTCGTTAATTTTAATAAATAATATAAATAATAGAATTATAAAAAATGTTGTGAATGAAAATTATTTTATTTAAAAAGATCTATACGTAATGTGTGTCCCGAATGAAAAGAACGATGTAAACTTAGGCTCAAAATTTGCCTCTAAGGGAAACGTACAAAATCAGTCTATTTTTATATCTTTGGATTTATAGTGGTTTTGAACTTACAACACATACTAATGATCATTGTGAGCAAAAGAAATAATTTTTATTGATTTTATTGAGTTTAATGACTATTTGTTCATTAAAAAATATTTGCTGTGAAGCAAGATTTTGTTGTAAAAACTGCATTTTCACAAAGTTCTCCGGATTTTTGACAATTTAAAAATTTTTTTTTTCGAGTTTAATAGATTCAAAAATATAAAGATAGGTTGATTTCATACGTTTCCTTACAGGCGAATTTTGGTTTTAAGCTTACACTGTTTTTTTAAATTATTTTTTTTTAAATGTTGTTTATGACAATTTTTATTAGAGATATTTTTTTTATGACTATTGAAAACTTCATTTTACACGTTGATGAAATTTTATTTAAATTATCATGTAATTCTTCTTCAACAAATATATAACTTTAACTCGAAACATTTTTTATATTCTATTATTTAAACGAATTATTGAATGTCTACACTTAACTCAAATATACTATGCATTAAGGGAAAAAAGACTTTTAAATACATTTGTAAAGAATCTCTCTATCATTGATGGTCAATTCTAATCGCAAGCTTTATTTTTACGTGCGCAATTTTTTTTCTTGCAGACAAAACTTGCTCAAGATAATTTCGCCACGGGCGGCATTTGCGGTAAATGTCTGTTTTGGCGTTTTGCTTCAGCTATAACATGGGGTAACTTTTTCATTCGTGACAAGAGCACCGCGCATTTGATAGATTCAGGATCGTGGATTCCCACTCTTGGTATGAATCTGACAGACGTCATCTTTCCGCATGTCGTGCATGGATTTCGAGGAATCAATTTACCGATCGCTACATATCACGTAAGTAATGAACGTGAATCTTTTTTCCGGAGATGGAGATTGTATAAAGATCGTGTCTTTTTTTTAGAATCCACCGTGGCAAATTATCTCAATGACCAACTCTGGTGAGAAGGAATACGGTGGATTGCTTTTTGATGTCGTCAAATATTTGGGAAACAAATTGAACTTTACGTATTCCGTGCTCAGTCCAGTAAGCAATCGAACCATCAAGTTTACTCAAAATGAGACTCAAGCCGATATGGTAAGTTTATGTAACAATATATTTCTGTTTTATAACACACTCAAAAAATTGTCTTGCAAATACAGTAATAATTTTCTAGATGCAAAAAATTAAGTAAGATAGATAAGCAAGTATCGTGATGTATCACCTGTTTTTGTATGTTTAATTAATCTAAATAGCTAGAATAGAATTTATATTAATGTATTTGTACTATTAATGAAGTTTAGAGAGAGTCTTTCTGTAGACTATTAAGATTAATTATAGTTATTATGAATTTTGAGCGATAGAAAAATCATTTCTTACAAAGATCGTTCTTTGTAGTATGAAAACTCATATTCATATCATCATTTATTCAATAAAGTGATTAATATGGAAATAATGAGATCTAAATTTGTTTTTTTTTAATAAGAAGATATTATTAAAATTTATTGTTAAATTAATAAATTCATGTATAATACATGTTATAAACAATGTTCTATCAAATACGAAAAATAGCGATAAACATTTTTTAAATGAATGTTCAAGCTACTCTTCACTATGATGATGGAAAATTTAAAATATGTAAAACCGATTGAATAATTTAATCTTTAGAAAAATTTATTTTTTTCGTATGAAATGCTCGAAATGTGTAATATAAATTTTTCGCTGTAACTTTAATTTAATGTAGATCCAACTCTGTGCTTTTTTGACGAGTATTTCAAACGTTTTGAAGGTATTAACGTCAACGACGAGAGAAATGCCACCAGAAATAATAGATATGGTCACCGAAAAGAGAGTTCTCTTTGCAGCCTGCGCTTATACCGTAAACAATCGCGGAAGGGGAGAGATTAATTTCACCATACCGATTTTTATACAGACATATAGTTTCCTGACCGCAAAGCCAGGTCAACTCTCTAGAGCATTGCTGTTCACCGCACCCTTTGCTAAAGAGGTATAATTTGCACTAAAAACACTTTACATTTGTATAGAGACGTAAAGAAAAAAAAATAAAATATTTATTTTTTTCATAAAATACGATTTTTTGGAGAAAAACTTACAAATTGCATCAGGATCATATTACAATTGTTTAAAATGTTATGTTAAGGCGAAGAAAGTCAAAGTTTATCAACAGGACAAGACTCGGTAGAAATCTATATTTTACTTTATTACATTAATAATGAAATATGTAACATTTTTATTTTAGTTTGTCACATTAGTAATAAAATATAGCAACACATTATTAATAAATACAATAATGTTACTTTGCACATAAATTGAAAATTATATAAATATAGGATCTTTATAAAGTTTTCATTATTCTTCATTTGAATAAGAATAATAAAGATAGAGATTTATTATGAGATAATAGAGATTTATTATGAGATGCTCGAGATCAACAGTTATCTTATATCGATGCTTTTTAGTACTCGATTAGCTCGATCTATTTCATGCCCTTGTAACAAGTGTATATCTCTAAGAAGGCTAATTTTGCAGACATGGGCGTGCCTGGCATCATCCATTATCATAATGGGCCCGAGCTTGTATCTGATTCACAAGTACGGTCCAACCAGTACAAAAACATCGGGTCTCAACTCCTCCTGGCAATGTATATGGTATGTTTACGGTGCTCTTCTTCAGCAAGGTAATATCATTTTATTTTATATTATATGACTTAAATCCTTAAATCCTTAAAGCTTTATTCCGTTTTTAATTTAAAGATTTTATTATTGTTGATGAGAAAAACATATATAAAAGAAAAAGTATATAAGGGTAGAATAGAGTGAAGAAACAATAATAGAAGCAATGACAAAATACTATAAATGAATGTCAGTGTTTTTATTTAGAAAAAATAAAGAAAGATCAATTCTTGTAAATATGCAATCAATATTTTTATTAAGTTAAAATATGAATTTGTTTAATTCATTGAACTAAATAATTTAAAGAAAAAATTATTTTTGTTGATTATAAACATCTGAGACATTTTTTCTGAAGTCCAGGAAAACATCCTTTTCAGTATTTTCAAAAAGTTGATTTTATAATACTTTAATTAATCAAAAATTGCAAATGCAATTATTAATTGTAATATCAATAAATATTAATAAAATTCAACTATCAATATAAAATATACGCCTATTTTATATTGATTTAAGCAAATAGGGAGCATGTTATATCATTTTACTCTACTTAAAATTAAAAGATTATATTTTATCAAAAGAGAGAAAAAGTAATAAAATGCATGAATAATTTTAGGCGGAATGTATCTACCTTATTCCGATAGTGCTCGTTTGCTAATCGGCATCTGGTGGTTGATTGTGATGGTCGTGGTAGCGACTTATTCCGGAAGTTTGGTCGCATTTCTGACATTCCCAAATATGGATAGCTCCATCCTGACCATAGACGCTCTCCTCGCTAATAAAAACAGATTAACCTGGGGCTTTCCTAATGGCAGTTATTTAGAGGAGTATCTGAAAAATGCAGAAGAAGAAAAGTATCATATTATGCTGAAACGAGCTAAAATTTATAATGCGACACAAGAAGCTGAAGTTATCGAAAAAGTAAAGGCAGGAAAATACGCTTTAATCGACTGGAAAAGCACATTAAGGTAATCTTATAATTTTAAGTCAAAGTCCTGTAAATTGTTTCCGAATATATTTACCAAATACTTTTTCGAGAAGAAAAGTAACATTTAAGTAAAATTTTTTTTTGTTTTAAATTTTAAGGAACATAAACACACATTTTAAAAAGTTCTTTTTTCATTTAAATACTTCATTTTCTTTATTAATACATAGAATAAATTAGCGATTAAAATAAAGTAAAATAAAATAAAATAATAACACAATTTATTCGTTTATTTATTCTTTGAACAGATTCTTAATGAGAACCGATATGTTAACAACTGGAAGATGCTCTTTTTCCTTAAGCACTGACGAATTTATGGATGAACCTATAGCCATGATTATTAATCAAGACAATCCTTACATAAAAATCATCAACGCAGAGTAAATTAATTTTAATTTTAATTTAATTATACATAAAATTTGTGATTATTATATGTATATTTGTGACTATTATATGTATATTTTATATAATTTCGCAATTGTAGAATTTTTGCTCACAAATAATCTGTATAGATCATTTTATCATGAATTTTTATAATGTTAAAAAAATATCAATTAAAATTTAATTGCACATCTCAATAATGATTACTTGACGAATCTATTAATTTGCGTCAACTTTGTCATTCAGATTACATCGCATGCACGAGTCTGGATTGATGAACAAATGGGTAACGGAACAAATACCGATGAAAGACAAATGCTCGGATATTCTCGCCAATCAAGCAGTAAACGAACGGAAAGTAAACGTGGCGGATATGCAAGGAATATTTTTCGTGCTTTTTATGGGTAACGTATATCTTTTTCCTTGAGAAGCACATTCTCCAAGAGTATAATAATATCTCGTGAGAATACGCGATTCGCTTTATTTTGCTCTTTTCAGGTGTGGCTGGATCAATATTTCTCCTGTGCTGCGAATTTTATTGGCACAAACGCCAAGTGGCGAAACGACGTAAATTGATTCAACCTTTTCTCTCCTGAATTTGATCCGGCGTTAGAATTAAATTATAAACGCTCCATCTCCTTCTCTCCAAACAGTTTTGCGTCCTTAAAATCTTCGTAATGTAATTAAATAATAATAATTATCCTAGAATTAAAATTTAAAAAAGGTAAAATTTAATAAAGGGACCATTTTCGCATATGCATGATTCCTATAAAACGATCTTATTTTAATCATACGAATTGTATTTAGAGATGTAAAAACCTATTTTTTTCTTAATAGAAAAAATAAACAAAAATGAGAAATAAACAAAATGTTTTTTCGAACAAGATATAATTTGAATCTAATTCTCAGTTAGAAGTATAAAAATAAATATAAAAATTTTTGTTATACATCTAATTAAAAATTATCCGAATTATGTCGTATTTGATGTAATTTGCTCCAAAAAATCTCATTAATTCATTAAAATTACCTTTGAAAAAGAAAATAAATAAATACAAGAAATATAAAAATTTTAGTTAATAAGAATAGTAAGAATAAATTTTTATTATATTAACAAAATAACATGAAGAAAAATAATATGTTAAAAAGGTAGAAGAAATCAATTTTCTTCAATGCTTGTTTTCCACTGAAAAGCCAAACATGTTTTTTCCCCTCTCTAAACACAATAACTATCGATAATGATAATGATCGGCCTAGAGCTAAATAGAAACGAGCGATGGAGATGAATGAGAAGAGGGTCGCACGGCATAAATTGCTCGGCGAAATAATCTTCAACCGCGCGTGCGATTCGCATTGTTAGCACGATAGATCCCAGATTCCGCACATTAAGCAACCACCCGTGGCGGCGGGTAAAAGTCACCGCGACGTTATTACATAACGCTCTAAGTCGCGGAGATCCTCCCACTTGGATCAGTCGAAAGCGGATCCTCGCTTCGCCTTCACCGCGCCTTCGTGCCGCTACTTACTACCGTTATCGGATGCGTGATATCCGCATATTTTCCAAGATTCGTGATCTGGGGATCGCCCTGATCGCCGATCACCGAGAGGAATGCCCGATTAACATGTCGTGAACAGAGCCAACGTATCAGCGAGAATAATCCGTAAATATAAAAAAAATATTATTAATAAGAGAATTAAATTAAATTAAATTCTCTTATTAATTAAATTTTTAATCAAATTTTTAATATATGTTTTTATATGTTTCTCAATTAAAATATATATAGTCAAATTCGAGAGTGCGCGACACATCAATTTTAATTTATCAAGGCAACTTAATAATAATTGCTCCCTTTATTTTTCATTTTAATCAACAATAGAGCTGAAACTTGATGTGGAATAATTTTTATATATATGTCACAAGGATGCATTAAATTATGTAATAATGTCCTTCGGCCGGTCATTCACTGGTACACGTATCCTATGCATAGATATACGTAACATGAGTATTATTAGATTGCGTGAATAGAAAATAGTATGTATACATAAATCATAAATCAATTTATACGCGATGACGGACGCGCCCGTCCACGTATAAACATAAACACAAGTGAGCATATAATGAATACAACACACACACACATGCACAGAGAGATAGAGAGGGATACGATTCTCTCAAGACGCTGGAAGATAGCAGCTTCTGAAAAAATACAGAGAGAAGAAGAGTAAAGCAATGAAGAGGAGGGAAGGAGAATTAGCGGGGGGGAGAGGAGAGGAGCTATGTACGCAATTTAACGGGGATTACGATCTTAACCACTTAGGAAGTCGCGGTAATAATCGGCGGGCCTCAAGAGCGGGCCTCGCTCGCGAGCCGGGCTTCCTCCGGCGCGCCTCAAAACGGGCCTCGTCGAGCGGGCCTTAATCAAACCTCTCGAGCCTCGACGGCCGTTAGTCCAGCGTACCAAGCCAGTTCCGACGTGGAGCGCGAACGAGCTGAGGCTAATCTTGATAGAACCAGAACCAGCGGCGCCGCGGCACTCCGGCGTCGAAGGCAGCAGCGACCGGAAACGATGGACAAGCCATTACACTGGATTGTAATATTGCAGCGTACGTAAGGTCGTCTCGATTCGATTTAGATTAGTCCGAGATCTAAGCTCTCGACAAGCTCTTTGAAAATTATATAATTATTATTATATTAAAATTATTATTATAATATATTAAAAGTATTATATTAAAATTAGATATTATTATATACAGCCTTCCTCCTGAATAACGAAAATGAAAAAGATACATACAGATAAGTGAAACATTTTCCTTTACACTTTCAACGCGAATTAAAGAGAGGAATAATTATATTTTAAGACGATTGTACGAAAGAGAGATTACATTGAGAAAGAATAAATTGATGAGAAGCTGCGTTATTCAAAGGAAGGCTTTAATTCACACACATCAAAAAAGCAAATTATATAATTATAATATATTAGGTGTATAAGATTTCTTCTATTTTTTAAGAAATTCAATCTATTAACAATTATATGTATATTATATAGAATTATATATATTTTAATATAGATTAATTATGAAAATAATTCTCATTATTTTTTCACAATTTCAGGTAGGTAATAAATTCTGAATTGATAAAAATCTAGTCTTTACTTGTGATGAATTCATTCCAAAAGCCATTTTTAGTATGTTTATTGGACATGGCGTCTTTAGGCTACTACTTGTTTCAATCGATGCAGCACGTCTGACAAGAAATTTAGAAATGTCGAAGAAATAAGAAAAGATAGCTTAAGAAATTTATCGCGAGAAGGAACAGACTTTCTGTCGATTCAGAATCTATAACTTATTTGAACGATGGAAGGAAGTGTTAAAAAAATGATGGGAATTGCTTTCATGATTGAACTGTACATGTATAATTTGTGGATAAACATTGAATTTCATAATAAATATTGTAAAATTATTTACATCTAATATAATTAATATATCATGCATAATAATATATACAATTATAATTACTTGTAATTATAATTGTATATATTAATAATTATAATTACTTATATATTAATAATTATAATTACAAGGAATTGCTTTCATGATTGAATTGTACATGTATAATTTGTCGATAAACATTGAATTTCATAACAAATATTGTAAAATTATTTACATCTAATATAATTAATATATCATGCCTAATAATAATATATACAATTATAATTACAAGTTTTAATTTTATCGACTATGTTGTTATGTTGCAGCAGTGTCGTTCGCGTTCGGTTATAGGTACGATCCTTGGTATCGTGCGGACACGCAACGTCCGGTCGATGTCATCACCGACGTCATCAATGATCTGGGATTGAAGATCCTTCAACAATATTCGGCGCACGGAAATGTGGCGTTTTCGCCCACAGGGGTTGCCTTCATATTGGCGGCGCTTTACGAAGGATCCGCTGGTAGAGGGTGTCAACAAATCACTGAAGCTGTAGGATTACCATCCAGGGATGTTACCAGGATCGGTTTCAGGGATATTCACCGACGATTGAGAGTAAGATCGCGCAAGAGCAATGCAAGTATCTAAAGGAACGTTGTCCGAAGATGCTCTACTTTTTCGTATTTTTCTTCTTTATTATTTAATATTTTGTTCGATATTAGATATAAGATAGATTAGATAGAAAAATAAAACTGGGGACTGCTAAAAATTGTTGATTAAAGCGCAAGTAGCTGCATTTATTGATAAAATTATACGATTTCAAGAGTTACCTCAATGCTGATGGCTTCCTGGGCGGATTGACACTAAACAAGGAGAACATCAGACTTCGTCCCGAATACGAAGACATCCTGAGGTTTTACGGCTTCGATCTGTCCAGTATCGAGCAAGAAGCGAACGTTACTATCAAAATGGGAGACTCTTCGGATACAACCGAACTTCCGACGTCTACTGCCGGGTCAATCCCGACAGAGATGATAGACACAATGAATGAACCGGACACGACGACGGTCACTTTAATCGCTACAACACTTCCGTCAGAAACAACGATCGCTCCATCGACCGCAGCGGACGTTACTCAAAGTGTCACGATGGAAGCAATCGACGTGCAATCGATTACAGTCGCGAATCCCGAATCAGCTGTTCCAAGTACGTCGACGGTAGATTCTTCATCTGTGATTATTTCTGATGAAAACATCCAGCTAACATCCACGCGAGTCACTGTGGACAGCCAAACGAATCCGACTATGGTTCCTACTTCGATCGATCAGAGTCCGCAGGCCACTTCGATAGTCGCCATCGCTGAAACAGACGAAATTGTCGCGGATATCATCATTCCTAAGACCGCTACGGAGAATGCAAATTCTAATGCGAATATTCAAGTACCGCATGACCTAGATACGACAACGGCGGCTAATGTCAATGCGATGAGTGACGAGATGCTGACAAATATTTCGTCGACTGTAACTATCGTGGATGCGACGCCCATTAATGATACGTCTGTCACCGTTAATACGAATACCGTTACCTCGAATTCGTTAATTTCCACGATCTCTTCGCCTTTAGCCAATGCTATAAATTTAACTACTCCGAGTCCCGTTATCGAAACCATGACGAATAACAGTGTTTTTTCGCAATCGAGTATGACATCGATGGGCGCTCTTCCGGACGGAAATATTTCGGGGATAATTATTCCTATGCATGATGTCGGAATAACGCCAATCATTAATATTGATGACGACACTACAGCGTCCGCTGAGATGACAACATCATCTATTCAAGCGATAAACACGACAACTTCGAGCGATCTCGTTGGAGATTTGAATGATTCCACGATTGCATCGACGAATGGGAATATCGTTTCGATGAATCGGAAGAAGAAAGAATCGGAGCCTAATTTGAAAGTTATAATAAATGAAGGTACAGATGAGTTGACAAATTACAAATCGTCGAATCTACGTAAACGAAGAGCGAAGAATCCGCGTGGATACTTCTCTAGTTATCCAGGTACGTTCGAATCATTTTTTATCATCGTGCGCATTAATCGATTAAATTATTAATTAAATTTAGGGTTGTACAAGACTCAAGGTCAAAATTATATTGTATTGGTATTGAAAATTTCCGAAAATTTAAATCTTACCTTGATTTTAAGTGAATCTTTGCAGCAAAAATCTTGTCTTGTTTCGATTTTATTAACAGTTATTATCTAATATTGAACAATTATTTAAAGTAATATTTAACCTATAATCTTTTAAGATAATTATTATTTATGTATCATAGAAAAAACAAATAATTATTTTTGAGAAAAAATGTATAAAGACGAAGGTCTGCTTGTTGCAAATCTCGTACAATCCTAATTAAATTAGAATCTCGAAATATATAAACTTTTTGCGCTTTAATAGAAAATTATAAAATTATAATAAAAATTATGTAAAGTTTTGTAAAGCATTACACTTATGAGGATATAACAATTGGAGGAGAATTTTTCTCTTTTGTATATCCTAATTCAAAATTAGAACTATTATCTTTTAGACGAAGGTATCTGGATGCAAAACTTGGAGATTTGGAAATCATCGTATAATACGATAAACGCGGACGAATCCTCCAACGGAGATTCTGCGGAGATATCGTTTCTAGTAAACGGTTGCGATGTATCCTCGATATCGGCCTCGACATATATCGCTGTGCTACCTTTTGCCTATTTCCCATCCTTGCATGCTGTCGCGCTCGAGTTTCCTCTAGACGTAAGTTTAAATGGAGATTTAATTCATCTATTTCGTTTCTTTGTTTAAAATTTGAAAATCAAACTTAATTTTTTAAATCATTTTTTAATAATTATAATCATAGTTTATCTTCTGCGTAGACAGAGAAAGAAGATCTATTTGAAAAAAACGTCGATCTAAGCACAACTTAGCTTTAAAAATTAAATATGAGCTGTTCACGAATAAAGTTACTTTGCAGAAGTATAAGCGTGTAATACAATAAATATTGTTCTCTTAATATTTTCGAGGATCCCCGATACAACATAATACTTCTCATGCCGACGGATAAAACGGACACGCATCGTCTGGCGAGAGATCTCAGCGGGAAGTCATTGAGATTGTTGAGGAAGCGATTACAGCCTACTTGGGTCAGGGCCACGATACCTTCGTTCATGCTACGTGGTTTCGTTACACTGACATCATTTCTACAAAGGGTAAGCTGAACAATACGTCACACACTTCGATGTCAACATCGAATGAAAGCAAATGACAATCAGCTGATCGCGCGAAACAATGTTACAAATAGTTTTCTATAATTCCTATGGTGTTTTCTCCATTTTCAAAGCTTCTTACTCCAAGATTTCATCAATAACTCGTTCATAAAAATGTAAAACAATTTTATAAAATGTTGAGGTCAAATACACATATTTAATTATAAATTTTTTAATTTCATTTTTGTGCGTCCGTTCACTCTTGTAATATTTCTTCAAAGTATTAAAAAAAATAGACTTTTTGCGATGTGCTTCTTGTACTTTTTATGTTTCTTCTTCGTAGTTGGGAATTGTGGATGTGTTCGAGCCGAGGTTGGCCGATCTATCGCCTATGACATCCGACCTTGGTGTGTACGCCCGAGACGTGCAACAGAGTATAGGGGTCAACATAAGGAATTATATGAAATCCGACCGTACCCATTCTCGTGAGTCGTCTAATGTCGTTCCACCTCGAAGGGACTATTATCGATATCTGCCTCCAGGTTCTCTCTTACTCTTGCTTTTCATGCACTATCGCGCACACCCACTATCCCTTTTCAAATTAGCATCCTTTCTTTCTCTTTTTTTCTCTCTTTCTCCATAGTGTATTTTTTTTCAATTCAATTCAATCCATTTTTTAATTATGTTCTTGTTCTTGCTCTTTTTTAAATTCTGTTTCTTTCTCTTTCTTTCTCTCTTTCTCCTTAGTGTATTTTTTTTAAATCCATTTTTTAATTATGTTAGGTATCGCACTTTTTCTTGCTGCTCCGAGACTTGCTTCCTCTCGTTTACGTGTAACTCGTAAACGTGATGATATTGTACAGTAATTGAGGATGAGGACCGCATATCCGTTTATTAATCATGCTTACCAATTTTTATATTTTCAACAGTTTCATAATTTACGATTATTTGTTATTCATTATTTCGCTTTGTGAATAATTCTGATACCACTTTATAGCGGTATAATCATTGCCATATAATCTAGAATAAATTTTTATGAGATTATACGATATATATTGGAAGACAATCCTAGTAAACACTGTTATATTAATGTTATGTAAAAGCAATAAAACAGAATGTTACAATAATATACGTAAATTTTAGGGATAAATTACTGGTTAATTGTAATTTTTCATTCATATGTAACATGTAGTGCAATACATATGTTTATTGTTATTCATCATAGTTATATTCTATATAGAATTAGTTCATATTAAATTCATTAAAATATTAATTTATAGGTAATTAAATACATAAAATAAATTATATATATATTTAATTTATAAAATTTGGGATTTAATTTATATAAAAATTTTGATTTGTTGCTTTAAATAGGCAATTTAAAGTGGATTATTTCTCACATTTGTCCGCTCAATTTCAAATAATCTGTTTAATATTCTACATCTCTTATTAGGATTGTATTAGAAATTAAATAACTAAAAGAGGGATGTACTTTAGATGTTAGTATCCATCCTTTGCAAGCTTTATATCTATTTTACGATGAAAAATTGAATACGAGTTAGAGTTAGGTCTAGTTTCTTATATTGCAATAATATATATTCTGTTACATTACTGTTGTAATGTTGTAAAATAATATGTGTGATATAGTTTTATATTGTATAGGTAACTTGTGTGTGTGTATGTGTGTGTGTGTGCGTTACATTATTTTCACGTTATATTACTGCAATAAACAGTGTTTACTAGGATATTAATTTACCTTTAACGTTTGAAAAATCGGTCCTGTCTTGATGCAGGCAAGTGACCGGATGTTAATCCCATTAAATACGTCCAGGTAATCTAAGTTGGAACAACAGCGGACGCGAGAATAGCGATTCGCCTCGATTCTCAAGCGCGCGGCGCCGGAGATAATGTTCGAAGAGGTAATCACGTTGACGCAATATCCGGTATTAACCGAGTGAAATTGCAAAGACTCGCCGCGCGACTCGAATACTCTCTAGAAACGCATAATTTGTAAACGACAACGTGATGAAAAAGAGAGAGAGAGAGAGACACAATGTACTCCTTAACGCGTGTGAAAACACGTCCGATGATGACCGGCCGTTACTACTGGGTTGGCTTGGTTTCTTTTTTTTTTGCCTTTCTCTCTCTTTCTCTCTCTCTCTTTCTCTTTCTCTCTCTGTCTCCTTCGCTTCCGTTCTCTCGCTATTTCTTTTTACGTTCCGCTAAATCTTCATTAATGCTGTTTATCCTTAATGATTGCTTCAACGCTTCGAAATTACTTTGCGTTGCCAAAATTATATGAAAACGCGTTTCCGAGTCTTATTTAAAGTTGAGAAACTGCCGAGGACAAACGTTGAATCAAGCAATTAAGCTAATAGAGTCTCACGATAATTATGCCGAGCACGGATTATTATCTTTTCAATGCGTCATGAAATTAAAATTACGAATGATTGCAATTTCATGGCCTCTGCTTCGGGGAAAAAGGAAATTGATAGTTTAGTCAGATGCTTTTCTTGATAAGAATATCTTTTTGATTTTTGTCAAGTAAATTATCACAGAAATTGATTGCGTTTATAACTTCGCGAAATGCAAATGGATTATATTTGCGAAGATGCGAGTCTTTCGAAAACGCGTAATCAAGTCAACATCTATTTTCTCGTCGATGTGAATAAAATTATTGATCACTCTTAGATATATATTCTCAATATTGTTCAATTCGCGGAATTTTAATTGCTGATATCCGGTTAGAGGCCGCAAAAGAAGTCAATAAGAAAACCTTGCGCTATATATCTCTATTTACATTTTCGAATCATTCTAAAAATAAAATATGATGTGATAAAAAATGTTTAGAGAGAATCATTTTGTCTCTAAATATTTTCTATTTATTATTTTTTAAATATAAGACTGTAGGTTCTGCAAATTATTTAAAGATTTGCAATTGTAAAAGAGATTATAATAGTATATTTTCTTCTGATTTATAGAAAAAATAAAAAGGCTTCAATCTCTTGCAAATTTACGCTCACATTAATTCTTTTTCTTTCTCTCTCTCTCTCTTTCCTTTTCCTGTTTATACATATCTTTTATATAAAATGTTCTATCACTTTAAATATCTCTTCCTTTCAATTTAAATGATTCTCCTTTGCACTGTGTAAAGTAGCACAAATAATAAGCTTTGTATTATGTCAAGTATTGCATTATTTCTATTAAAATATTGTAAAGAGAATTGTACAAATTCCATAAATCACATAGATTTTTTTCAAAATTTCTTCGCAAAAATATATTTTTCATTGATTTTTCTAAAATATGTATAATTCATTATTTTATATATTTCTGTAACACATAAAATAATGATACATAAAATATAAAATACATATTTTAGAAAATATTTTTTAATAATATTATTTATAATTATAATTTAAAAAAATGGCGTTCTTTCTCTCTCTTTGCAAGTTTATTAATAATAATAAGTTCAATTTTTTTTAGGTAACGGTCTGTTCGAGAGAGCCGGACCTGTACCTTTTACAGCTTTGCATCCGTTTCTTTATTTCATCGTCGACACCGAAACTTCGGTGAGTCTAATCGCCGGTCGAGTGGACGACCCGCTTAATTCAAGAATACTGTAGACATGTATAATTTAATTTATGACATATTCTAAGATTTTTTAAATAAACATTCGTTTATTTGGCGATACTTATAAATAGCTATATCTTATAATGTATAGACTTCTCCTTCCCAACACGCACACAATTATTACCAAGTACACGCAATTAACATGTGTTCTGTACAGATTTCTATTTGTAAATAAAGAATTATAAAGATAAGAAAGAGGCAGTGTGTAATTCGAAATGTGCAAGATTGAGCATTTGAAGAATCGTTCCGAGTTATTTCGAACCATAGAGTGGAAGGACGATATCTTTTATGCCTTGCCAATTGACACAAGCATTTATGATGCAAAAAAAGATTACGAAAATGTTAAAATATTTTGTGATAATTATAAAAATTCGCATTTCCTTTTACTACTACAATGTCGCTTGTTCTTAAGGATGTTTTGTACCTATTTTCAAAATATTGAAAATTTAATGAAAATTGTACAGAATGTCCTTGCATATGTTTAGAATCTTCAGTACAATTTTTAAATCGATTCACTAAAGCATATTCACAAGTTATAAAGATTTGAATTTGCACCGAATTAACATGTGTCCTTATGGGAAACGTATAACGTCGATTCAAATGACAAAAACACATGGAAATAATATTCAGATATGTTTAAAATTTGCAAAAGTTTAGATACAGAGGAAATATTTGGTCAAATAAATTATACAAGTACTGACTAGTTAAAAAGATATTAAATATAATTTAATAAAGTTAGCCATGTATCTGTCACAAGGCAAAATTCTCTGCCAAAGTTAATCATTTCGATTAACAAAATTCAGAATATTTCAGTAAAAACGCAATAAATATTAAAAAATACATCTCTGCACTGTAATTAAGATCAAATTGTAATATTCCAATTTCTCATACTCAAAAGTGGATATTCGTCAATATTGATTTTCAGCTACTTTTTGCTGGGATTGTACAAAACATCCTTAAGTCGAATTGATTTAATTTGTGAAACCCAGATATCTGGATTTATTAAATAACACTAATTTTCCAACAATAAATTAAACTAATTTTTCAAAATACATAGCTTTTACTAGTAAATTTAGTGTGTGTTTTATATATGAAAAATCGCAATTTTTCCTAAAGATCATGTTATGTTCATTTTTCGAAGCAAAATAATAGCAAGAATAATAACAGCGTTTCCTTTTATCTCTAGCAGACTTCTTTGAGCTCTTTATTACAATTCAGACTTCCCTCGGTTATTCAGCTGTCTAGCCTTATAATCTAAAAAATATATATTATTTCCTTACGTAGATTTATATATAAATACAAGTTTTCTCGATGTATACTGTTGCAATGCACGACTGTTTCGCGTACGTCGCTAGAATATCCGATGACTCGATTCCATTTCTTGTGCATATGTAGCAACACCACAGATTGTGTTATTTCGTGAGTGGCAGTGTGAATACAATAAATAAATGCAAATGATAGAAGATACGTTCTCATTTGCGAGAAGGATCTAAGGTGATCAACTTGGTTTCTCGATATCTCGCGATCCAATGTTGCGAATCGCTTATAACATTCGGGTATAGGTTCTGTCAAGTTCTCTCTTATTCGCATATCTATAGTCGCGTTGATCGTGGAGTAGATCAGGTAACGTTCTTCAAAATCCACGGTACGAATTTGGAGATCCTTGTACAGACTCCCGGCAAGTTAGCTTCCGCGCATCCGATCCCCCACGATATGATACCGGCGAGAAAGTACCTACCATCTTTTCCGCGTACTTGGAGAGGACCTCCGGAATCACCCTGCGTAAAATGAAAGAACAATGAAACACTTCTCTTGATGAAAGCGTTGTACTCGAAATAAGTGTTTTAATGATATGGTTCGTGCGCGTATACCTGACACGAATCTTGCCCACCGGTTTCGTAACCGGCGCAGAGGAAGATGTCCGGAATGACCTCGTGTCTGCCAGCTCTTAAGAACATCGATTTGCACCTGTCATTACTCACTATCGGCACAGAAACCTTAAAAATAGTCAAAGTATGAGTAGATGGCTAAAAGAGATTATTCATCATCTAATTTGAATTAATAATTAACAATTAAACAACTACCTCTTGCAATATCGAGGGCAATGTTCCACCCTCGCTCAACCTTCCCCAACCCGTTACCGTTGCATTCTCCCCGATCAAGAGATCATCCGTGGCTGGCAGACAAATAGGCGAGATGTGCGCTGCGAACGTCAAGGAGCTCTCAAGTCGCACCAAGGCCAGATCGTATTCGTACGTGAAAAAGTTGTACTTGGGGTGCACGACTTTCTTGGCGACGCCACGTTCCACGTAGGGCAGTCGCTCCTGGACCGACGAGAAGTCGTATTCCCCGACTCGTATTCGTATTTGCGTCGTCAGCAAACTGAAAATCGAAAATCGAGTAGCGTCGACGATGTTGAGTGTCTCCCAAGGAAGGAACGGTGACTACTCACTCGTCGACGCAATGACCCGCGGTGGCGATCCAATTCTCGTTGAGTACCGCACCGCCACATCGGTGAGTGCTCGAGAAGCCGAAAAAGGACGTCCGACGTACGGATACTTGCCAGGGCCATCGGCCGAACGGTGCATCCTTCCCGCCAACAATTCGCGTTTCCGGTCGCGGGAACAACGGCGGTACCCCACACTGCATGTGTTTGCTCTCGTCAGCGGCCGGAATCGTCATCACCGAACCCGTCCCCTTCTCGCTCGCCGCTGTTGATGCCTCGCGATCAGCCGACCCTTGAGTTGGAACGATACTCGTGGTGCTAGCACTGACTGTGCTAGTCGGTGCAGTCACTGTCACTGTCGTCACTGTCGTTATCGCGGTCGTCGGGTTAGTTGTAGCATGAATGGTTGTCGAAGGTATTGATGTACTCAGCGACGTTGTGCTCAGTATTGTGGTTTTCTTCGTGGGTCGTGGCCTAGTTGACGTTTCCAAGTGGGACGTCGTTATGTAGTGCGCTGAACCCAGGGGCTTCTGATACTCAGTGCTCTACGCAAAGCGGATAGTGCATATACGTTCTCTATTTTTTATACAAAATTTAATTTTTATTAACACATTATACAGTTCAATTATAAAGGTAATCCTCAATTTTTCACAATCTTTCTTCTATTTTTTAGATAAATTATAGATTCTGGATGGATAGAAAGTTTGATTTTTATTTGCAATGAATTCTCATCGAGCCATTTTCTTACCTTCTTCTTTTCTGATTATGAGTAGTAAATTTACAAATCTCAAAAAAATAAAAAATGGCTTGATAAATTCATTACCAGACCTTCTATCGATCTAGAATAATCTGCCCAAAGATAAAGGAAAATGCTGTAGAATAATAGGATCACTTTTATGATTAAATTATATAATATTTATTAATAAAATTAAATTATTAAATTAATAAAATTATTAAATTAAAATAAAAATAATAAAATTATTAAATTAATAAAATTAAATTATTAAATTTCAGAAATAGTGAAAAACTTATTTATATATTTAATATCTTGTATTACATACCAATAAAATACAATTATGGCAAAGATTTTTAAAATACAAGTACAGTTCGGTTAAATGTCCAAAGCATAAAAAGACTGTTGTAATATCGAATAACATTAATAAACAAGCGACAATCAATATCTATCGAAGAAAGAAAATACTTGGACGTACTTGTTGCGACTCGGTCGGCTTAAAGCTCGGTCGCGATGGAAACTTTTCCGGTCCATTCTGAAGGAGACTAGGACTATCCGTCCAGTGCGGTTTCAAGGATGGCCTAGGTGGCGTCCAGCTGTTCGACCAGAAATGAGAGTTTGTACCTGAAGACGGTATTCGTATCGTCTCTGTAATCGTGGTCATTGGTTTGGACGATGATGACGATGATGATAGTGATGACGGAAACGAGGATGATGAAAATGACGACGTTGAGAACGACGATGACGAGGACGAGGATGAAGATAACGACGACGGTTTATGTTTTGTAACGAAGACTGGCTCTGTAGTCACTTGCCAATGAGAAGTTTGTGGTATGGATCCAGCTGCGCTAGAATGAAAGACAAATTTTACACTATGTCTAATACGAAATTCACATAGGAATAATTAGATTTTTTTGCAAATCCTTTTGCAATAAGGAATAATACTGATGACTCGAAGACAAGTTGCATACCTGATGGAAGACTGCTTGTTATAAGTCGGCCTAGTGGTCGTTGTCGGCCTAGTCGTCGATGTTTTTGTGGACCAGGTATTCGGTTTCGAGATAAAATTCGGTCTTTGATTTGCCTGACTACTTATCGAGATCGGTCGATTCGTCGTCGTTTTGATCGAGAAGAACGGCTTTGAAAAATCCGTCGACGACGGTTTCGATTGTACTGGCTTGGTTGCCCACTGCGGTCGTTCAGTGTGTATAAAATTTACATTCGGATGGGGTTCTTTCGCCGTTTCCTGAAAAATCAATATTCCATTAAACTCGATGATGCTTTTATCGTGCGAAAAATAGCAGTTGTTATTAGTCGCAATACTTTGTAATGTTGGAGGAATATCTGTATCAAGCATTTATTTTTTAATATCTTTAATTAATTTTAATAATATCTTTGATTTGAATAAATAGAAAAAGAGAAAAGCTTGCCACACAAGACAAGACTTGGATAAGACATTTATCATTTCAATTATTTCTAACTCTATATAAATTATTTTTATTTTTACATACATAATTTTAAAAGTATAGATAATTTTAGTCAATTAACATATGCAGGATGTTTCTTAATAAGTGCGAATAATTTTAGGAGATGATTCTTTGTCGAAAATTAAGCAAGATTTTTCATATAAACATATACTCCTTCATCCCTTTCTGTGGAATTACACTCCTCCAAAAATGGGAGTAAAAATTAGGTTTTTATTTTTTTTCTCAAATTTGGAACAAGTTAAAGAAATGAAATTAGGTGGATATTTTCTACTAGTGAAAAGGTTATTTATTAATATTTTTTTCAGCCTGCCGTATTGTTATAAGGGAATGAAATTAGCAACCTTTAATCAATTTTTTATTTAAAAATATTTTATTTTTTAATGTTTATATGAAAAACCCCCTTAATTTTCGACAAAGACTGAAAAATCCTTACTTTCTCAACGACAGAATTGACCGAATTTGGCCGATTTATCGTCTCTTGCACGTTGAGATCGACATCGCCGGTCTTCTCGTCCGGTCTCGACTCAACTGGCCTCTGGTTGTTCGGTTTATTCGGTTTAGCCGGCTTGCTCAAGCCAGCAGCCTCGTCATCGGCATGCTCCTTTCCCGGCAAACGTACTATTAGCGTATTATGAGTCTCTATTTTGTCCTTGAAGCCCGGTTGGCTTTGGACAGAGAGAGGTTTCTCGCTCGTTTGTTCCTCATCCGGTCTCGTCTTCTGATGATGAGAGTGATTCTCGTGATGATTTCCGGGTCTCTTCGTTTTCTGCGGCCTGCCTTTCGTCCATGTGCTCGGGGTGGACGCGGAGACAGACACCGCGGGGGTTTGCAGCCTATCAACGTCGTGCTCGGACGTCGGTTTCGCATGCGGCCTCTTCTGCAAGGGCCTTGCGGCACTGTGCGAATACGGTTTTAACGGTCTGGTTGAGCCGTGAGACCCTGAAAGTTGATGGAGACTCGGTCTCGCGGTGTTTGATCCCGTGCTCCAACTCGAGGGAGAGATCGACGTGGTCAGTTTGGTGGTCTCAGTTGACGCTGCCGGGTCAAACAGAGTTGGCTTGAGTGTACTCGTAGTCGTATTGCTGTGCTGCTGCTGTTGATGAGGATGGTGAGACGTACTTATCGTATTTATCGTCGTGTTGTGGATGCAACAACTGCCGAACATGAACGTATCCACGCACACGCCCACGTGCGTTCCCTCGGACTTGATGCACTCCCATACGAACATGCACGTGCCTTCCTTGCTCTCGGAACCAGGCACTTTGCAGGGCTTCGGACTGATCTTGTAACCTGGAAATGCACCACAGATCGCGCTATTCTCTCTAGATATTCTATATTTCTAATCAAGAGAAAGGAAAAGAGAGAGAGGGAGAGAATTTTGAACACCGTAGTATTTTTTTCAGAGTTAAATCGAAAACATCTACGCTATTAAATAAGTTTGCAATCTTATTTTCGCGTCGGGATTCAAAATCGGTTACGTTACATGCGCGTTGAAACGCTCATCATTTGTCGACGAAAGCAACTTGTGATTTGCCGCAAAACTGACGTTTCTATCCACGCGCTTGCTTCGAAAAAGCGAGAAAGGAAACATGCTCCGGGCGACGAGATTACATACATTAAATTTGATGGATGCGTTAAAGGAATGAATATTGCGTGACGTCCTGTCGCGCCGATACGGCACGATAGGTCATACGTAGCGCGCTCGACAATTAGACTGTCTTACATGTCTTACATACGCGAGATCTATCTCGAGATCGTCGAGGTCTATCAAGTCGGGTGAAAGTGTACTACTTGTCGAAGAACGCGTGTTTGTGGGAGATCACGTAAAAAAAAAAATGAAACTTAATTACTGGAAGGAGTACGTAGACCCGGGCCCGTGTCATTAACCGAGTCATGGCGAGACTTGGGCAAGAATTACGACCGCGATGTAGCTTCACGATGTAGTCGCTTTCTCCGCTTCGGAGACTGACACGATCGTGTCAGTCCGCGCCACGGATTGCATATTATATGTTAGATATAGGGAAGTTTGCAGGGAGGGGGGCAAGATTTTTTCTCTACGCAACACATTTTTCTTCCCCATCGACGCTTTGCGTTCGGCTCGAAAGATCGATGTAATTGTTCCGTTCTCGATACCCTCGTCGGAGGGCGACGGGGTCTCGTTACGAAAATTACAGATTGTGAAAGTTGGCATTATGCCGCTAGATATTTCCAATTTGTTAGCCTGACAGCGAAGTCATCACGACTACGACCCGATTTAAAATGCGCTCTCGTATTCTCTTCCCGCACGCGAACGCGTCCGTCTCTTCCCTCGAAGAACGCAGCTGATCTTCGGCTGACAGCGCGCAGCGTCAATTGTGCGTTTCCGTAAAATGTGAGAAAATAATAGAGGAAAGTTCTCTTTCCTCCCTTTCGGTCGGAAGGGAAATTCATCGGAAACAAAAAAGAAAGTAGCAACTTCTTTCGCTTTTATTTTCTCACGCTCGTGCACGACCGACTGCACCTTGACCGAGTTCTCCTTCCAATTAAGCGTTACACATTTAAGAAGAGAATCTTCAGGAAGCAAGAGACGTTGCGTAAAGGGGGATGGTAGCGAAGAGAAATGAAGAAGAATGAAAAAGAGAAGGGAGAAGAGGCACAGCAGCTGCATACGGCTTGTTCGAAAGTACACGAAAAAAGATGAGAAGAGACGAGACGAAAGAAGAGAAGATGCTACAGCGGTGCGTTTCGCAGCCGAAAGGACTATAGAGAGATGCCGCGGATGCCGACAAGAAGCGCGCTTAAATCATCAAAAGGCAATATTACTGACTGTGACCTCGATTCAGCGTACTGAGAGACCTGGCGATGCCCGACCACCAGAGAATCGTGGCCACGTAACCGATCCACCGCATTCTGATCCCTGAAAACAAAGATATCATCGATTACATTCAGGATTTCTCGGCTATTATCATACGTGTCAATTTAGATTAATGTTTCCCGAAAACGACTGGTAACCAGTCATGTTCTACTACTAGACACTCCTGCAGTAGATTTTATAATTCCATTAAGAGCTCCGTCAAAGGAGAACGCGAGCGTCTACGCTTACGTCTACTCTTTCGTCTCATCTATTGTCTATTGTTCTGCTACGTATGTGTGCGCGCTCCTTTCTAATTCACTTTCCCGTTGCTGAAGCATGCTTTTCATATTAACCCTTTTCAAAGACGCATGAGATGTATTTCATCCCACACGCACATACACATATTTATGTACACACAATGCGCTTTTTCTCTCATTTTCAGTGAAACTACGAATAAGTAAATTGTTGCAAATGTATCGTACTTGATAGCACGCAACTTCATAATTTCTTTATATGTATAAACGTCACTTCTAGCGGTTTCAATTTACATAATATTATTACGAAAGACAGGAAGCCATCCGGAATTAAATGTGTCTTTCAAATCCCCGCGACATGCTTTTAACGATGTCTTCTTTAAAGAGCGATGACGTATACAAGGCAAAAATAAAATAAAATTTGAATATTTCCATTTATGAACAATAGTATTACAATGTTTGATTGAATATTGTTTAAAATTTGATACTTTTTATATATAATATTATGCAAAATAATTGAGAAATTTAGAGTAAAAGTGGAATAGATATATAATTAAATTTTATTTTATGCGGATTTAAAATATCGAAATATCTCTCATATATCGATAAATTTAAAATAAATCTAGCAACTTTTAGATTTATTTTATTTTTACTCTCGTTAAATTTAATTCATGACTTGTATAATGTTAATATTTTCTTTCTTTAAATTTAATACATTAAATTAATTGATATATTAAACATTAAATTAAAAAAAACATAAAGTATTTTTATTCATTTATAATTTTAAAATGTGTGAATGCTGTCAGCAATAATATTATATAAAAATCTTTTTCACCGTTTTAATATTTAATTATGTAGACATTTCATGCGTGCGTAAATTTTTCATTTAATCTATCATTGAATAATCTGAGATCAACGATGGTATTTCGCCGATGCGACAGATATCACGAAGCTAAGATGTATCGGAAGGAACAAAAAAGCTACCCTGGTCCGACCTGTCACCGAATTCTGGTCCTGCATTCCAGGTCATCGATGCAGCGTCTCTCGCTTTCGAATGTTCAATCGAGGATACCATCATCTTGGTTCTGTCTTGTCATCATGGTTGGGATTATCTCCACCGACGTTACATCTTCTGATCGTTCTCTTTTTTTACATTCTTGTAGAGAAATTTCTTATTAACATGAAATTCTTTTGTTCAAATAACAAAAAAGACATCTGTAAAAGACAGATTTGAAAAATTTAAGAAATCTATTAGACTTCTTTAGAAAATTATTTATATTTGAGTATATTATATGTTACATTTTTTGTGTTATTTTTGTCTTTTAATCATTCTTAGATAATTTTTTCTTGTATAAAATTCAATCTTATGATTTTCTAGGAAATAACGAATTTTCTAGGAAATTTCGAATATACTCGGACATTACTCTCTACGTATTGCATTTTGCGTAACTTTTGCGGAAATAGATATCCCATATATAACTCGGATAACTTTCTCGATATCTCAGAAAAGATAGCTCATGTCGGATATTCTGATAAATGGATATTTCCTTTCGCGCATCAGATATTCATAGATATCTATATTTGAATTTATTTGTAAATTTTTATGCATATAGGTAAGTTGTAAAAAATTCAAATTTTACATGTCTTTTACTTTCCGAAACATTGATAATATTTTTACTTAAACTAAAATTTCTATCATGAAATTTTTTGCATATTAATATCATGTTAATAACTGTAGATCAATATTTGCAAAATACGTATATAAGAAATATCATGATATACATATATGTACATTTCAATTCTTAAATTTTATAGCGAATAATACGTGGTATAAAGTCTATAAAGAGGGTTTTATAAAATATAATCGCAATTTTATGATATTATTTCTAGACTTGTATTCTTTTTTTTACTTATTTTTCAAAATTATTTTTTGTGTCTAAATAATGATTAATTAAAAAACTGATATGCGAATATAGATCGGTGTTTAATTTGACTGCATAAGATTTTCATTTTTTTTTATATTTAAATTTATTTAATTTTTTATATTTAAAAACTGCTGCATGCATTAGAATTGCACAAGACTTGAGATAATATTTGTAAAAATTGTATTGACATTGTTGAAAAATTAAATCTTGATATTAAGTAAAGCTTTTTCATTTCATTTATAAATATATATTTTAATTTTTTTTAATTAATAATCCTGACACTCTTAGTCTTAGTATTGTTTTGATAATTAATTAAAATTTTGTCTTGATCTTGAATTTCGAGAAGAGACAAAATAAAATCAAGATATCTAGTCTTATATCTTGTACACCTACGCTAATTATGAGGCGAAAAATTGATTTTAGCGTAACACTACTTTGTAAACTGCCATAAAATCGGGTCTATGAAGTCTATTCTATTATACATGCTCGGAGGCCGCTATGGGACAAGGTCAAGAAGCAGAATATAGAACTGTCGCTGGTTAGTCGGCTGCGACTCTTCTTTTACTGCCACCGGTAGCTGCGGTCGCTGCCACTTGAGGCAGAACATGTACCAAGGCCGAGCAAGAGAAGCCGGATGACCCAGTGATCGCGGATTTCAAATCGCGCTTATCGATCTTCTTCATCGTGACCGCTATAGTCGTGTACAATAATACGAAAAAGAGCCACGCCATCAATAGCGGATCATCCATTAGCCGCAATATGTCTGAAGCCTCGTGTATTGAAGCTGCTTCACGAGCGAAGCAAGTGTGTGCAATTTTTATTTATTTGGTATTCAACTTTAAATTTCTAAGGAAAATATGGATAATTTATATAAACCATTTTGCCTCAAATTATTAATAAAATTAATAAATATTAATAAAATCGAGTGAGATTTACAGGCGTACTTGTCAACTTTACACATTTCTTCTTTTAATTTAAATAATTAGAAAAATACGACCGTTATGTAAAGGTCATTTAATTTTTATGTCTGGTCATATATTTACTAACATTGAATTAAAAGGCCAAGTGTATGAGTCCATTAGCATTCATGGTCGTGACAAGATTTTGTAACGCGTGCAAGATCTTCTCTCTGTTGACTTCCCAGATCCCAGGCACGTGCCACATGATGCGTGAGATGTATACACTATTTAAAAGAGACACCGTATAAATCAAACGCATCTAACTCTCCACGCTTTTTATGTCAGAATACATGCAAATATCGAAATAAACAATTTTGAGATGAATCTTTAGCATATATATATTTTTAATATTGTAAAAAATTAAACTATAATATAATATATAATATAAATATAATATATTATGTTTTTAGTTAATGTCTTTATAATTCAACCCGAATCTGACTGGATAAGCAAACCATGCTCGAAAGATTAACTCTGAGTCAGATTCGCCGAGAGAGTTAAAAATAATATTTTCATAATTTAATAATCAGGCTTGGTATTAACATGAATCAAAGTCGAAATTAAAGCTAAAGACCTATACTTTTTAGTAATTAATCATTAATGGTAAAAACTGCTTTTTGCAAAGTTGCGTTCATTTCAGTATTATAAAAAAGAAATGATTTTTTTTAAACTTACAAAAAAATGCGAAAAATAATCACTAATTATGTATATTAAGTAAGAATGATATTTTGGAAATTTTTGAGGATGCTGATTTCAAATTTGTGACCGTTACAAAATTCAGAATAATGGATTCAAAATAGCGGACCTTAAGTAATAAATCTGGAAATATTAAGTTTATTATGGAAAAAATTCAATTTCTGTAGGTTTTTTTGGGTCGTTATGATTATTATTCAAAATGTTAATTTAATTAATTTTTAAATGGAGTAAAATACGCGTTTAATGTATAAATTTGTACTTGAAAACTGTATTAGATGTAATTTTAGGAAAAAAATGGCGAACCTATAAATATTATAGTAAATCCTGAAATATTGAATTTATTTGGAACTCAGTTTCTATAAGTTTTTGAGAATGCTTTGAAAATATGTTTTTACTATAAACTATTTTCATATACTTTACATGAAGTAGCTTTAAAAATGTGAAAATAATTATAACGTGAAAAATAAATATTTTTCTTCTCAAGAAAAATTTAACTATGTTGATACTGGTTTTTCTCATTAAATAAATAGGAAAGCTAATTAAAGTTAATGCTGATAAATTAGTAATAGAAATAATGATTCTCAAAATGCAATCATATTTAAATCATAATTAAATCTATTCAAATTTTACAGAAAAAATTTCTGAAAGTTCTGATTTTTCAAATTGTTCAAAATTACAAGTAAAGAGGATTTTTTAGGTGGTTTTTTTATATAACTTTTTATAATAAGTTTTTTATTGTAAGCATTTTCTAGTGCTTTTTTTCATTCATACTAACGAAAAATAAAAAACAACTTAAGTTTCAAGTGCAAGATTTGCAAATGTATTGAAAGAGATTGAATAATTTTTTAAGATAAATTTTTCACCTGTAACATTTTTATTTTTTATCACCTAAAAAGAACACTGTAACATTTTTATTTTTTATCACCTACAATACAAAATATGTACTTTCATTTTGTTAAAACATTGAAATATACATAAATATATATATATATATATATATATATATATATATTTATAATTTATTTTAAATGTATAATATAATTCACAACTTGCTCAATTAGTGAATTGTCGATTGCACTATAAAAACAAATTTATCAAAGAGAGAAAATCCTCTTTTAAAATTTTCTAAATTTCAATAAAATTCCATGAGAATTCCCTGATTTTCTTAAATATAAAAAAAATTCGAGAGACTTTTAGATTCTTCATGTTTTCCCAAGGAGTGAATATTC